AAAATTTATATTTTATTTATTAAATTTATTAATCTACTTCTTATAGTTAAAAAGGTAAATAACCTTTTAAAAGTAAATAATAAATACTTTATATTATCTCTAAATTTTCTTTTTATTCATTGTATGTGGTACTCGGTAATAATGTTGTCTTTGCCAATTAGAGGGAATGGTTATATGGATCGAAACGAATATACGGTCTGAATAGTTAGATATCAAATATCCAGATAGTTATGAGTAGCATCAAATCAGATAATTGATTAATCGGGCAAAATGAGTCGGATCACAAATATTTCAAAAAATCCTAATATTCCATTAGTTCCCAGCCTAGTTGAGGTCCCAGTGGTAGCGTGAGTGATCACTGTCGTCTATTGTCTACTTTGAGTCGTATGATAAGATATTCGTTTGGCATATAAAGTCAAGGTCTCTATCGAAAATGTGTGGTCGGCATCTCTTACGTTGAGCAAAGTTTTATGTCGTAGGAAATTGCTTAGTACTATACAATATTGTTGATGAAAATACGAAAACAGATGGGAAAAGAGTTTTGTTGAGACGATCCAACGAAAGATACACCTCAGAAATACATAAGTCTTCCTCGACGACCAAAAGGGTAATTCATGAAGTATCTGTCTAAAAAGAATCATGATCAGCCCATATATATTAAGTTTTTGACCCAAGAAAAGCTTCCCCTCGATTACAATTTTGCGAACAATATAAAATAGCAAATGAAATAAACTAGGCCTGGGCATTTTACCCGGACCCGAAAACCCGAACCGGAACCGACCCGAACCCGACCCGAAAATTTACAAGTACCTATTGGGTCTAAATTTCTTTTACCCGAATAGACCCGGACCCGAAAAGAACCGACCCGAATAGACCCGGACCCGAAAAGAACCGGCCCGAATAGACCCGACCCGATAAGAACCGATTTGTACCCGACTTATAAACATGTATATCCAAAACTATTATTTTTGTGTTATGTTTTATATATCTATACTATTTTATAATTTAGTTGAAATATATTTTGTTAAAATATTTATTATTATTTGTAACATTTTTAAGTAATATAAAGTTTTAAAATGTAAAATTTAGAGTTTAAAAATGTTTTCTTTAATTATTAATAGTTTAAATTAAGTTATTTTATAAAATTTTAGATATATATGAAAAATATTGATTGAATTTGAGTGAGTTTAAGCATATTATGTATTTTTTAGATTCTAAATACCCGGACCCGACTCGGACCCGATATGGATCCGAAAATTACGGGTATTTTATAGGTATTGGAATTAAAGACCCGAACCGATCCGGACCCGGCAAGACCCGACCCGGAACCGATCCAAAAAATCCTAGGTACCTATATGGGTCTAAATTTCCTAAACCCGAAAGATCCGGACCCGACAGGACCCGGCCCGAACCCGACCCGAGGACCCGGATGCCCAGGCCTAAAATAAACGTCACAAAGGAAGGTGGGAAACTGTGAGTTCAATGCAAATACCTCCACGTCATAAGCATTCAACAACAACTAAGTGTATGTCTGGCAAAAGTCCAAGTTTCTGTTGATGGAAAACACATTAATATTAATGCCATGTAACGTACGTAAATGCATGATCGCTATCGTTTACGTTGAATGCTATGATAAGACAACTCAAGGCCTTTGTCGACAATGATACAATGATAACAAGGCCAATGATAGGAACCAAACACAAGGTATGATTTGGCCTTGTTACAAAAAGCAAGAGGTTTTGTGGTGTACAGAAACAAAATTTCACCAAAAAAAAATGGTTTAACACGACAGTTGCCTCACTCTCTGGATGAAAGCATCAACTGTAAAGAACCAAAATCTGCTCCAAGGAGAAATAAAAGAAAGAGATGCAAATACTCCAAGAAGCATTGTAACATAGGCTGCAGCAAAACTCCAGTAGAAAGACACCATGTCGATTGTGCTTTCTTCGTCTTTCACAAGAGTGTGAATTTTGTTCCCTTCGCAGCTTGTGTTGGTTGGTAGTCCACAGAGAAGAGGATTCCCTAAGAAGCTTTGTGCATCAAAAGTGTTAAACTGCTTTCCTTGTGGAACGACTCCAGATAAGTTGTTGTACGAGACATTGAAGACAGCTAGTTTGCTCAACTCAGCTAGTTGTGATGGGATCCGACCTTGTAACATGTTGAAAGAAACATCAAGGCTTTCTACATTCTCCAGACCTGAAAAACTATCTGGTATCTCCCCTGATAATTTGTTGTGAGAAAGATTGAGAGCATGTAGTTTTATAAGACCTCCAAGCCAAGATGGGATCTCACCACTCAGCTCATTTTCCGAGAGATCCATTCCAAACAGTAGTCTGAGGTTTTCACCAATGTAGGAATCATATCTATGTTTTGTTGCAAATTCAAGTTTGGTCGGGGTGGATAACTCAGGGAAGGGTAGATAAAACGGATCTAGCACAAGAAGAGAAATGAAATATCTACCAACACCTTTTGTGGTAGTACTGTGATCCTGTTCCAGATCAATACCAATCTTGAAACTACCAAACCTTTTACCAAAGACTAAATCAATATAGCGTAATGCATCCTGATCTTTTCCTAAACCAAATGATGTATTGCTAATTAGGCATGAAGGTATGGATCCATTCAGCTTGTTGTTGGCAAGATCAAGAATGTGGAGGTTGCTTAAGCCACACAACTGTCTAGGTATACGGCCTGTTAATCTATTCCCTCGCAGAAGAAGAGTATGAATGTTTTGAGCGTTGATGAGCTTCGGAATACTCCCTGAAATTTTGTTGTTTATAAGATCAACTACAGGAACATTCATTAGCAATGTATCCGGAATAGCCCCTGATAAATTATTGTCTTGCAGGAGTAGTACTATCGGCTTTAAGGATTTGAAGTGTGGGGGTATGTCTCCGGATAAAATGTTTGAAGAGAGGTCTAGTAGATTAAGAGTGGTTGAATTGAACAATGAGGTTGGTATTGTACCTTCCAACGAGTTGTTTGAAAGTAGTAGTCCAATTAAGGATGGAAGCTGTCCAATCCAACTTGGTATAGCACCTGTGAGATTGTTGTTTGAAATGTCAAGCAGTACCAATGATTCCAAGCTACGTAAGCCTTGTCCAATCTTTCCTGTAAACTGATTGTTATTCATTAACAGCTCTGATATACCATAACAAGATACATCTTCGGGTAAAACCTCTCCACTGAGTCTGTTATGTGACAACTTCAAACTTTCTATGGAATAACATTCCTTCAAAAAGCCTCTTGGTATTCCCCCCTGGAAACTGTTGTGAGAGAGATCCATAAATAAAATTTGTTTTATGTTGCTCAGAGAAGATGGCAAGTTTCCTTGAAAACTGTTAGTCGATATATTTATAAACAATAACCGAGGAAGTATCCACCCTATGTTCTCAGGAAACAAATGATTTAATTCATTCGTTGACACATCCAGGAAAGCCAGACCATGAGTAGCTTTTGGTAGCTGAAAGCTTGTGAGATGATTGTTCTGTAGACGCAAGAGTTTGAGTTTTGTATTATTCTCCATTAGCCAAGAGGGAAAAACTCCATATATTTTATTGTCGGAGAGATCAACTTGACGCAAGGCTTTCTGTTGTAGGAGAAAACGAGGAACCTTGTCCAAGTTGCAAGATCCTAGTACAATAGCATTTAGCTGAAATCTTGGCTTCCAAGAACCTTCAGGCTCTACTACTTGAAGTGAGTTGGATTTTGAACCGAGTTTTAACACCCTAAGCTCTGAGAGGTTTGCAAGCGAACGAACTGAAAAGAAGCCTTCAAAGTTGTTGTCAAACAAGGATAAGTACTCAAGCGATTCAAGGTTACTGAGAGAAGATGGTATCTTCCCGGTCATTTGATTCGATGAGAGAGCAAGAACTCGAAGTACACTCAAGCTAGTTCAACATGAGGGAAACTGGCCAAAAAGTTTGTTTCGACTTAAGTCAAGCTCTTGCATATTCTTCAGGTTGCAAATCCCTAACGTAATCAAACGCAGAAGCTTAAGTCATTTTACATGAATGTGAGTTTAACCACAAAGTCTTCTTAATCAAAAGGTGAAATACTTGAGTAAACTTGCCTTGCAGTTCAGTTGAGCCAGAAAATTCATTATCACTTAGATCCAGAGCTTTTAACTTCATCATGGCAGATAGCTCTGCCACACAAAAGTTAAGTAGTTTTAGATAAAACAAGTTCATCTGCAAATTTGTTATGACGACTGAGATGTATGTCCACACTAGGACTAGATATCCAACTCCCCAACAGTAACATCACACATATCAAGTATTTTCTCAAGAACGCCATTGCAAATAAAACAATAACCAAACGAAAGAAAACCAAATGGCTGTTTGCAAATTTCCCGTGGAAAACAGCAAATTAAATACATAATTGAGATCCCAGTGGTGGCGTGAGTGATCACACACTGTCTGTTTTTTGAGTGATCACACTATCGTCTGTCGTTTATTATAAGTTGTTTAGTCTGTGTTGAAAATGTGTGGTCAGCAAATTTTAAGTCGACCAAAGCTTTTATATCATGGATTTGCTTAGTACCAAGAAACAAAGTTGATGAAAATAAGAGAACAGATTGGAAAAGAATTTTCTTGAAATGCCCCATAAGATTTTTTTTTTCTCAGGCTGCCAAGAAATAATTCAAGTGTTAATAAAGAAGATAGCCAAAAGTATAGGATTTAATTACTGTTAAGGTGACTAAGGTTAAGCGTTACGGAGTGCTGACTACTGATTGTCAAGCTCTGACACTGCGAAGCAGAGTTTAGGGAAATGGAGAGAATGAGGTGAAGATAACGGTGGCACATACAGAGTAATTTGTTTGACAAAGTACTGATCATCATCTTTCTTTTTGAATATTTTCAGTCCCAAACAGAAAGAAGATCTCCAAAAGTTGGTACAACACACATATATATGTAAGCTAAAACCAAAGCACAAAAGTCTATTCAAACTTTTTTTTTTTTGCTTGATAAGGAATATCCAAGAGCTGAGTTTCAATGATTTTAAGAAAACATTCTTTTCACTGAGGCAGTGAAAGCATCAACAAGGCGGAGCCATGCTTGACGCCAAGGACAATCGATGCACATAAGTAGAAGAAAGCCTATTAACGCAGTCACATACGTTGAAGCAGTAGTCCAATAGAAGACCATCATGTCAACAACAGCTTCATCATCTTCTTCTTCTTCTCCTACATTATCTGTTTCCTTTGTGCTCTTCTTAGCTTCACAACTTCTATCAGTCGGTGGCCCACATAGAAGAGGATTGCCTAAGTAGCTGTTCTCGTTGAAGGTGCTAAACTGCCTTCCTTGGGGAATGATGCCTGATAAATTGTTGTAGGAGACGTTGAAGACAGCAAGAGAAGTAAGGTTTGTTAGTTGGTTAGGGATGTTGCCATGTAACATGTTATAAGAAAGATCAAGGCTCTCAATGTCCTTCAGTTTGGAGAAGCTATCCGGTATAGAACTGGACAAGAAATTTCGAGACAGATTCATTGCTCGTAGTTTCGAGAGCTCTCCAAGCTCAGCTGGGATAACACCACTTAGTTCGTTGCTAGACAGATCCAAGCCATACATATAATCAAGTGTTCCTCCAATGTAAGAATCATACCTTTGCTTTGCTGCAAATTGAATTTCGACAATCATATATGTATCATAGTATGTCATGAACTCTTCTACCAAGAATGTAGATTTGTAAAATTCGAACTCAAGTCTTTCACCAAAGCCAAAGCCCATTGCCCCAAAGGAGCTACTTGTCATCTCCTCTTCTTCCCTTGATCCAAATGTTAAATTATAAAGGCATGAAGGTATGGTTCCATTGAGCTTGTTGTCTGAAAGATCTAAAAGAGTGATATTTCTCATATCACATAGCTTCCATGGTATAGATCCTGTTAAATTGTTCCCCTTCAACAGAAAAATCCTCATTTCCCCGGTATTGACAAACTGTGGGATACTTCCAGAGAATTTATTTTTCCGCAGATCAAGTATCTTAGCATTTTCCAACAGCTTGACGGGGATTTGCCCCGTTAAGCTGTTGTTTTGTAGGAACATACTTATCCCATACATAGAATTTAGATGTGACGAGGGTAGTTCACCAGATAATAGGTTTCCAGAGAGGTCCAGAAATTCAAGATGATAAACGGCCAGCAGGGAAGGTGGCAACGTACCTTCTAACAGATTATTTGATAGCAGTAACATAATAATATGCGATTCTTCAGGTATCCAACTTGGAATAGCACCTGTAAGGCGATTGTTGGACGCGTCAAGGACTGACAAATTAACCAAGGTAAGAAAACCTCTTCCGATCTCCCCTGTAAATAAGTTGTTATCAATCCGCAGCACGATGAGCGATGTTAGGTTAGTCTGTCCTGGAAGAATATGTCCACCAAGTTGGTTGTGAGAGAGCAGGAGTATTTGTAATGAAACACAACCTGTGAATAAGCTTCTAGGTAGTTCCCCAGAGAATTTATTGTGAGACAAGTCCAGGAATGAAATATTCTTCATCTCACCCATAGATGATGGCAAGTTCCCTTGAAGCTCATTATGAGTGCCATTCAGATGTAGCAGACTCGGAAGCACATGGCCAAAATAATCAGGGAGCACTCCACCAATATCATTTGCTGAAAAATCCAAGAACTGCAACTTACGCACGATTTTAGGAATCTGAAAGAGAGTAAATGAGTTATTCTGCAGCTGTAGGACTTCAAGTTCTGGATTATTAGCCAACAGCCAGGTAGGGATGTTTCCGGATATTCTGTTGCTGGATAGATCAAGTACACGCAACTTCTTCTGGTACATTAGAAAGTTTGGGATCTTCTCCAAGCCGCAAAAGGGGAGTGCAGCTATGGTTAGTTGAAATTTTGGCACCCATGTACTTTCTGTATCTACCTGTATTACATCAGATTCTGATGAAAGTTTGAACACCTTGAGATTTGTGAGGTTGGCGAGTGGATTGAGTGAGAACAAGCCTTCAAAGTTATTATCTGACAGCGAAAGATATTCAAGAGACTCGAGGCTACTGAAACTAGATGACAGATTTCCGCTTAATATGTTGTATGAGAGGTCAAGAATACGTAGCTTTTTTAAGCTACCTAAACAGAGAGGAAGCTGACCAACAAAGTCATTTCCACTGAGATAGAGCTCCTGCAGATTCTTCATTTCACATAAAACTGCAATGAGATAGACCAGAAACCGATGAGAATAAAAAGGTAGTTGTTATCTTCTCGAGAACTCAGTAGACAGTAAGATGTTATTATTAAGTTAGATGCTTAAGTTAGATGAACTCTCTAACCTAAAACAAATTAGTGATAAGTTGTTTGTTTCATCTATCTTAAATATTACTTAATCATTTCCAATTTTTGATGTGGGACATTGTAGCTATTACTCTCCTCGAGATGATGCCTATTTGAACATCAATCTCATAATGTTCAGGTAAAGATTGATAGACCAACTTTGAGTTGGATCGAGGATGGATCAGATTGTACTACAGTGAAATCTCTATAAATTAATAATGTTGGGACTATATCAAAATTTTATTTTTTCATTAATTTATAGAGATATTAATTTATCGATATACTAATTGAACAAAAAATTCAATTTAGGACTATAAAATTATATTATTTTATAGAGATATTTAATGTATATTAATTTATCTAGTATTAATTTATAGAGGTTCTATTGTATGTGGACTGGGTTTTTTTATCTCATATTATGAGTATCCAATTTAAAACCTATTGGTGATAAATGATTAGTTCATCTATCTTATATATTAATTAAAATCCTTTTTAATTTCTGATGTGGGATATTGTCCCAATAGTTATGATGGATAGTATTGGAGGTGAAGAAAAAGTAGATCACCTTCTATTGGCTCTGGTCCGCTGAAGTAATTCCAAGCAAGATCCAGGACTTCCAAAGTAGTCATATTCTTTAGTTCTGAAATAAAGTGAAGGAAAAATTATAGGCAAATAATCAAATTATCGAATGAGCTACATTCATCTCCATACACTACAACACACATAAAAGATTAAAATAAGCAAGCTTGCCTTTCAAGTCCATTGAGCTAGAATAACCATTGCCACTTAGACCCAGCGCTTTCAGCTTTTTCAGGTGAGTAAATTCTGTCACAAGACAAACGATACAGAGGAAGATGTCTAATTAATAAGGATAAAGAGCATGACAGGGGAAAGTGACGTAAATGGTACCTGGCATGGAACCGTTGTATTCGTTTCCACTCAGATCCAGCAATTCCAAGTTTGTCAAACTTTTCAGTTCTGAGAGGGAGTCTAGGAGAATATAGGAATGATCAGAAATGCAATCAAAACATAAGTTACAGAGACTGCAATACAAAAATCAATCTAACCAAAGATACATCAGCAATAACCAGACCTCGTTTTTTTGGTAAACAATAACAAGACCTTGTTAGAAATGGAGAAACACACCTTTAACAGGAAAAGGGACATTCATGTAGTTGTACCGAAGAAACAGAGTTGTAAGTGATGTAGCAGCATTAAGAAAGGGAAAGATGCTGTTATTAAACTGATTTGAAGAGAGATCCAAGATCTCCAGGCTCCTTAATCTACTCAAGCTTTTATAACCTACGGGGAAGAATATTGTTAAAAAATTTACAAGATAAGATAGCTCACCCTAATTACTTCAACAAGTTCAGTGACAATTTTAATCTAGTATGTATGCAAGTGGATAAAAAAAGAGCTGAACTGTATGCACTGGGTAGGTAACGTGATATACAGGTCATAGCCATCAGCAATTTAATGCCGGAAAAGTTGCCATAACGTTTTTATGCAGGGTTACCTATAATGTTTCCAAATTACTTTTTTATTACAGATATATACCTTCCATATCATCAAACATGGCACTAAAAGCGCACTGGGATAAGTCCAGACTTCGAAGCTCGTCAAAGGGATGCAACAAAGAAAGATTAAGGAGAGAATGCTCTTTGAGGTACAAATCACCAAAGGCAATCTCTGTCACCCATCTGCTTGTACGATTGCATTTAACGCCCTCCCACAGGCAGCAATTGCTCTTTGTGTCATTACTCCAAGTAGGAAGAACATAGTCGAAATCTTCAGTTTGAGAAGTGGAGATCAGGTATTCCTTGAGATCCAGCAACGCCTTCCTTTCTTTCTCAATACAGCTTTTGTATCCATGTAGCTGCCCCAGCAATAGTAACATCACCCATATCAAGTACTGATTCAAGGACACCTTCCCTTCCATTCAGCCAAAATAATAATAACCAGAGAATGAAAAACTGATGTTTGACATTGAAGAACCTGAAAACCCAAGTTGCATAAGAAAACTATTTTTACCAAGTCAATATCTTTTGAGGAAAAATACTCGTATCATATGACATACGTGTGGCGTGATTAGCACTACCGACTCCGACGAATCTTTATGCTCCAAGTAACAAAGAAAAATTGTGTGCATTGACCACACCCTCAATTTCCTCATCCTCAAGAGTACAACTATCAACTAATTTCAGTGACTAGTACCATGTGAAGGGGAACACGAGTTTAAAAAGTTACAATGATGATTTCATATATTTGAAACCGTTTTGATAGATAGATGAATGTTATACAGGGTCAATCCTCACATATTGGGATCATGGAAGAATCAAAAACTATATTTAAACGAATTAAACTAAAGAAAAGAAAAGAAGATGAAGAATAGTAGTACTTCTTCTATTAGCCCTGAAGACAACTTCCAGCTTTAGCCTAGAATCTTTTACATAGTCCTTAGTTATTTAAATATTCCACGTTCACTTGTATGTTAAATCTTAGCAACGTCAGCTCGTTGAATTATTTACCGGCATTGCGAAGAACAGAAACAGATGGCGAAAAATAAGAATTTAAACCAAAACAGAATACCTTTCAAACTCTTAAATTTCAAGACAGAGTAACAGTAACAGAATTAACAAAAGTACAAGTATCAACGATGGAATTGACATAACATAGGATATACCAGAATTTGACTCCAACCGTCTTTTTCAATTTTCCCGCTAAACTGTAACTAACTTGCTGACGTGGCTTTAGTCAGCCACGTCAGAAACAAGGGAAGAAGGAAAACGCAGTCGTTTCATATTAATTTTTGTGGGAATAGGTATTGAAAACCGCGAGGCTGCTCAGCTCTGCTAGTTTTTGTGGGATCCGTCCTTGTAACATGTTGAAGGAAAGATCAAGGCTCTCTACGTTCTTCAGACCTGAAAAGCTTTCTGGTATCACTTCTGAAAACTTGTTGTGAGAAAAATTAAATGCTTGTAGCTCCACAAGACCTCCAAGCTCTACTGAAATCTCACCGCTCAGCTCATTTTGAGATAAATCCATACCAAACAATATATGAGATTTAGGCATCATGTCGGTGTTTTTATATAGCCTAAGGGGTTGTATTTTTTTTTCTTCTAGGAAAATGAATTATCAGTAAATGATATGGAGACATTAGATTTATTCAAAACACTAAGACAAGTTATTTTATTACACAAAGCCAGGAGGCTTTTTTAAGAACAGCCACATATATGGACAATACAAAAATTTGTCACCAATTAATACTTCTTTTACCACAATAGATTCCTCACTTTGTTGATAAAACCATCAACCATCTCAAACCAAAATCTACTCCAAGGAGAATCAAAAGAGAGCGACGCAAATAATCCAACAAGTATGGTCACATAAGCTGCAGCAAAACTCCAGTAGAAAGACTCCATGTCGATTGCAAATTCATCATCATTATCATCATCCTCTCCACTATTTGGTTCTTGAAATGTATTGCAGCTTCTGCTTGTTGGTTGTCCACAAAGAAGATTATTCCCTACAAAGCTTTGCGTATCAAAAGTGCTAAACTGTGTTCCTTGTGGAATAGCTCCTGATAAGTTGTTGTAAGAGACCTTAAAAACCGAGAGAGTGCTCAGCTGTGTCAGCTCTTGTGGGATCCGGCCTTGTAATCTGTTGAAAGAAATATCAAGACTCTCCACATTCTTCATACCTGAAAAGCTCTCTGGTATAGCACCAGATAGGTTGTTGTGAGAGAGGTTAAAAGCTCTCAGTTCCATTAGCTCTCCAAACTCAGCTGGGATCTCACCACTCAGCTCATTCTCCGAGAGATCCAACCCATACAACAGCTTGAGATTCTTCCCCATGTAGGAATCATATCTGTACTTTGTTGCAAACTCAATCTTGGTCTGAGTGCTTGCCTTGTAGTCCATACTAAACGGATCAAGCATGAGCAGAGACTTGAAAGTTGCACCGTCTTGTTGAAGAGAGAAACCATCAAAGACATCAGAAGGGAAAGAAATGCCGAAATCATAATCATATGATGTACATCTCTTCCCTGTGACAAAAGATGTGTTGCTGAGGCATGAAGGTATGGAACCATTCAATCTGTTTCTTGAAAGATCAAGAAGCTGGATGTTTATTAAGCCACATAACTGGTGAGGGATCCGACCGGTTAAGTTGTTTCCTCGGAGAAGAAGAACACTGATGTTCTGTGTTCTGATGAACTCAGGAATACTCCCAGATAATCTGTTGTTCCTGAGGTCAAGTATCTCCACGTTTGCTAGCTGTGTGTATGAAATCTCTCCTGATAGATCATTGTCTTGAAGAAGCAACACTACTCCATTCTTGGAGTTGTGTTGTGGAGGTAAGCCTCCAGATAAACTGTTTGTGGAGAGATCAAGTAGCTGAAGATTTGTATTGTTGAACAAAGATGTAGGTATGTTACCTTCCAACAAGTTGTTTGCTATCAGCAGTGCTGTTAAGGAAGGAAGCTTCCCTATCCAGCTTGGGACAACACCTGTGAGGTTGTTGTTTGACATGTCAAGAAGTGATAACTTTCTCAAGCTTTGCAAGCCTTGACCAACTTTTCCTGTGAAGAGATTGTTATCCATAAACAGACCCAATATATTAGTAAATTTTGGTGGTTCTTGAAAAATCTCTCCGGTTAGTTTGTTGTGTGATAGCTTCAAGATTGCCATGGAGTCACAACCGTTTAGAAAACTTCTTGGTAGCTCTCCATGGAAGCTGTTGTGAGATAGATCCATGTATTCAATGCTCTTCATGTTACCTAGAGAAGATGGGAGAGATTCTAGAAAGCCGTTGTTGGAGATATTCATGTAACGTAGATGAGGAAGTATCCACCCTATGTTCTCAGGAAGGAGATGGTTGAGTTTATTAACAGACAGGTCCATGAAGAGAAGATGATGAGGAGATTCTGGTAGCTGAAATGTTGTGAAGGAGTTTTTCTGTAGAAGCAACACTTTGAGTTTAGTGTTGTTCTGCAACAGCCAGGAAGGGAACTTTCCATAAATGTTATTGTCGGAGAGATCAACATGACGCAACTCCTTCTGGTGTAGGAGAAACTGAGGAACCTTGTCAAAGTTGCAAGATCGTAGTGCAATAACATCAAGCTGAAACTTTGGCTTCCAAGAACTATCAGACACTAGTTGAAGTGAGTTGGATTGTGAGCAGAGTTTCAACACTCTAAGCTTTGTGAGATTGGTTAGGGAGCCAAGTGAGAAGAAGCCTTCGAAGTCGTTATCAAACAAGGATAAATACTCAAGGGATGTAAGGCTACCAAGAGAAGGTGGTAACCTCCCAGTTATTTGGTTAGATGAGAGATCAAGAACTCTAAGTCCACTTAAGCTAGTTAAGCATAAGGGAAACTGACCTACAAGCTTGTTGTGACTAAGATCTAGCTCTTGTATATTCTTCAGTTCGCAAATCCCTATGGTAATCAAATACAGAAGCTTTGGTTACTTAACGTGAATTTAATGACAATTCTATCTCAAATAGTAAAACATTTTAAGAAACTTGCCTTTCAATTCTGTTGAGGCAGAAAATTCATTGCGACTTAAATCCAGAGCTTTCAGATTTCTCATGTTAGATAACTCTGCCGCAAGACAAAGCCACACAAAGTTATGGCATAAGCCAATTTAAAACTTTAATGCAATATATTAAAAAGTGTACCCTAAAAGGAAAGGCAAGCATTTATGGACAAGTACCTTGCAGTGGTATGGAGCCGTTGAATCGGTTTCTGCTCAGGTCAAGGAGTTCCAAGTTTGTCAAATCTCTAAAATCTGAAAGAGGTTCCAAAGAATGTAAGAAATACAAAGCTGAAATTAAGACCTACAGTGAATAAGTCATTCAATATATCAACTTATTTAAGAATTGAGAATTATACCTTTAACTGGCAAAGAGCCATCCATGTTGTTGGATCTAAGAAACAGAGTTGTGAGTGATGTAGCAGCATTAAGAAAAGGAAATATACTGTTGTTGAATTCATTTGAAGTTAAATCCAGAATCTCCAGCTTTGTTAATTTCCTCAAGCTGTTATAACCTGCAAACAAAAATTTGGTATGCATTTTACCGAAAGAAAAAATATTGGTATGTCATGCTAAATATTAACAGAGGCTGTTATCACTTTCTAAAACATGTACAATCATCTTTTCTAGTTTTTTTTTGGTCTAAAGATTTTATAGTTTTAATGTGAAAGGAATGAAAGTGACTGCAACATGCAGCATGACACACAAACATCAAAGTAAATCCACAAACAGAGAAAAAAAGATCCAAGAATTATCAGATGGTATAAACACTCCCAAGTTTCAAGAATTAAAACAATGATAAATAATAAACTGACACAACATATAAAAGTACATGCAACTCAGTATTTTGTTGTCCAAAATATCTAGATTTTTTTTTTGGTGTTGCATCTGAACAACATCTAAACGCAAAATATCAAACTAGTCAAACAAACAACGTTTGGTGCATTTACACAAACGGACAGATGACCTCTTACGTAAGGCAAACATCAAAGCTACAATAAACACACAAATTTTAAAACTTAGCCACAAGGAAAAGCGCAGTGTACCTTCAACATCATCGAACAAGCCATTGTATTGGTTACTGGATAAGTTGAGACTTTGGACATCTTCAAAAGGATGCAGCAAAGAAAGATTTAGGAGAGTATTCTCTCTAAGCTTCAATCCACCAAACGCAATCTCCGTAACCCGTTTGCTTGTACCACTGCACTTAAGACCCTCCCAAAGGCAGCAATCGCTCTTTGTGTCATTACTCCAAGTAGGGAGAACAGAGTTGGATTCTCCTTCTATACTCTGTGAGATCAAGTAGTTCTTGAGCTCCAACAAACCGTTCCTATCTTTCTCTACACAACTTTCATATCCATGTAGTTGTCCCATCAGTAGCATCACCCATATCAGGTTTTGACACAAACACATTTTCACTCCCATCGCAAAAAAAATATTGTAAAGTAAAATAAAAGAAGCAATAAGAAACTCAAACCACAATGTACTGGGTATATAAATTTTATAAGAATATAAATTACTTACCTCCACATTTATAAGAATTAAAAAGTCCCAATTGAAACACAAAGTTCAACGATGGAAAACACTTAAAAGTCCTGTGATCAACATTGGTTAGTTTGACTCATAATGATGTAAAGACTCGCTTCGCCTTCAACTTCTAACCTTTGAAAAAAAATAATGATATTTCTCAATGATTTTGGTTTAAATGCTATCGAAGATTTTATTTATATCATTTATAGCAATAAAGTTAAAAGTTTCGAACTATGGAGAAAAAACCGCTAAACCTAACGGAATAACGGTCTCGAAATCGCTGATGTGGCTCTATTGGATTGGTTCCGCTTGAAACAACCAGAAACAAACGCTGTCGTTTTATTGGCATTAGTTTTGTCTTACGAGAAGTGGTCAGCATTCTTTTACTTGGACCATGCTTTAGTGTCATGACAGTGACTGTTCACCAAATAGAAGAATCTATTAATTTGAAAAAATTGTTTTCCTTTCACAAACTAACCACAAACAAGTTCCAAAAGATCTTGAAAGCATTGCGTGTATTGAAAGACAGAGCAGTTGACAAAAAGAACAAAAGTTTCAAAGACAGACAGCATATGAGAACTAAACACATTAAATATAGTTGTGAGAAAGATTGAGAGCATAAGGTTCTAGAACACCTCCTAGCTCTATTAGAACAACATAGATATATATTTTTTTTATTCCAACAAGTTGGAGCCATGCTTGACACCAATAAATAGATTTATGATTATAAATTGAATAAATCTAAAGAAAGATGAATCACCAATGAATAGGTTTGTGCACTTATGCTAGTTACAAAAGGGAAATCACATGTTTAATGTTGTTAATCTGAAGAAACAAGAAACAGAGTTATGAGTGATTTGGCCGCATTATGGAAAGAAAAGATGCTGTGGTTGAATTCATTTGAAGTGAACTTTAGAATCTCTAGGTTTCTTAATCTCTTAGGCTATGATAACCTGCAAAGCATATATTATGGTATCATCTCTAATCAGTTTTCATAACTTCAATGTGTTTAGAGATGAAGGCCATTCACGTTGGAAGGGAGTGTAGTGGCCGTCTTTTGTGATTGCAGCAGGGTACACAGAGAAAACATGTTGAGCTTGGCTTCTAGATTTCAATCCAAATACACTTACAAGTATTTAAAAGACAGACAATACAATACAATACACAGGATGACAGAACAAAACACAAGTTGTGCTTTGGTTTTGTGACACAAAGCAAAAGCTTATTTTGTGAAGAAAAATAACAAAAGATAAAAGGATTTTGTAACCAACAGTATTTTACATCAAAAAGTTCCTCACCTTGTGGATGAAAGCATCAACCATGTAGAACCAAGCTCTGCTCCAAGAAGAATCAAAAGAGAGTGATGCAAGTATCCCTAGAAATATTGTCACATAAGCTACAGTGAGACTCCAGTAGAAAGATACCATGTCACTTGTGGATTCAACAGATTCCACTTCATTATCACCCTGGTCTTGAAAGTTATTGCCATCACAACTTATGTTGGTTGGTTTCCCACAGAGAAGAGGATTACCTAAGTAACTTCGAATGTCAAAGGTATTAAACTGTCTTCCCTGTGGAATGACTCCTGATAAGTTGTTGTATGAGACATTAAACACAGCTAGGCTGCTCAGCTCTGCTAGTACTCGTGGGATCTCTCCTTGTAACCTGTTGAAAGAGAGGTCAAGGCTTTCTACACTCTTCAGACCTGAAAAGCTTTTTGGTATCCCTCCTGATAACTTGTTATGAGAAAGATTGAGAGAATGTAGTTCCAGAAGACTTCCAAGCTTAGTTGGGATCACACCGCTTAGCTCATTCTGTGAAAGATCCAATCCAGCAAAGTCTAAGAGGTTTCTACCCGCATAAGCATCATATCGGTGTTTTGTTGCGAATTCAATTTTAGTCTGTCCACCTGCAGCATAATTCTGACCAAATAGATCTACCACAAGCAGAGAACTGAAATAAACACCAACACTACTTGTGTTTGCCATCCTAGAAGGAATGAAGCTCTCAGGGTAGGAGAGACCAATGAAGAAATCATAAGCATCTGATCTATACACTTCTTCCAAACCAAATGATAAGTTGCCAAGACATGGAGGTATAGAGCCTTTCAATACATTGTTAGCAAGATCAAGAAGGTGGATATCTTTTAGACCACACAACCCATGAGGAATACCACCTGTTAAATTATTCCCCCGCAGAAGAAGAATACGAATGTTTTTAGCGTTGGTGAAGTCCGGGATATTCCCGGACAATCTGTTGTTTCTCAGATCAAGTATAGTGACATTCACTAGCAGTGTGTCTGGAATAGCCCCTGAAAAATTATTGTCTTGCAAGAGTAACACCACCTTAACTGTAGAATTGACTTGTGAAGGTATATGCCCAGATAGATTGTTTGCAGAGAGGTCTAGTAGCCCAAGATTGAATTTTCTGAAAAGTGAGATAGGTATTTCACCTTCCAACGAATTGTTTGAAAGAAGTAGTGCATATAATGCTTGAAGTTCTCCCAACCAACTTGGAATAACACCTGTGATATTGTTGTTAGAAATATCAAGCAGCATTAAATGTTTCAAGCTCCTCAGACCTTGTCCAAGCTTTCCTGAAAACTGATTATTATTCATAGTCAGCGCCTCTATATCAGTAAAATTGACTGGCTCTGGAAATACATCTCCACATAGTTTGTTATGTGCAAGCTTTAAAATGCTAATGGAATAGCAGCCATTTAGAAAACTTCTTGGTAACGTCCCGGTGAAACTATTGTGAGATATATCCAAATATTTCAATTTCTTCATGTTTCCAAGAGAAGATGGTAGATGTCCTTCAAAACCGTTGTTCGATAGATTCATATACTGTAAATGAGGTAGTATCCACCCGATGTTGTCAGGACACACATTATTGAGTTCATTCATCGACACATCGAAGGAATGCAGATTACGTGCAGATGTTACCGCAGATGTTGGTAACTTAAAGCTCGTAAAAGAATTGTCTTGTAGAAACAAAACCTCCAGTTTTGTATTGTTTGCTAACATCCAATCAGGAAAATTTTCAGAAATATAATTATGGGAGAGATCAACATGACGCAAATCTTTCTGATATAAGAGAAAATGAGGAAGCTTCTCCAACTTGCAAGATTGTAGTGTAATAACACTCAACTGAAACTTTGGTTTCCAAGAACTTTCAGACACTACTTGAAGTGAGTTGGAATTTGAATCAAGTTTGAACACTTTCATCTCTGAGAGGTTGGCTAGCCAATCAAGTGAGATGAAGCCTTGGAAGTTATTATCTAACAATGAAAAGTACTCAAGGGATTTGAGGTTACTGAGAGAAGATGGTAGCTCCCCAGTCATTTGGTTTGATGAGAGATCAAGAACTCGAAGTCTAGTCAAGCTAGTTAAACATAAGGGAAACTGGCCTACTAGTTTGTTTTGACTGAGATCGAGCTCTTCGAGATTCTTCATTTTGCAAATCCCTATGGTAATCAAATGAAAACTTTTTAACTAATCTAATAAATAAACGTTGATTCAACCACTAGTGTTTTATCAAAACGTGAAATATCTGAAACAAACTTGCCTTGCATCATTGACCCGGGAGATTCATTACTACTTAGACCCAGAACTTTGAGATTTCTCAGGGCATATAACTCTGTCACATTAAAATGTCAGACAAGTGGAAAAAAAAAAAAAAACTCTTTCAATACTAGCAAGTAGCATGATCATCTCAAGCATCACAAGAACCGGTAAAAAAAATGTTTTATCAATTGTGAACAGCTTACCTTGTGGTATGGAGCCATTAAAGCTGTTCCAGGTCAGGTCCAACACTTCCAACTTTGTCAAATCTTTAAGTTCTGAATTTTCTCCAACAAATATAAGGACACAAAATGAATGTAAGGCGTATAATTTTATGACAAAAAACTTTAAATCGAATTTGATCTAACAAAGCAGACATCATCAATGAGTCAAGATCTGCACGAATTAAAATAGAGAAACATACCTTTAGCAGGGAGAGAGCCACCCATGTCGTTGTATTCAAGAAACAAAGTTGTGAGTGATGTAGCGGCATTAAGAAAAGGAAATATGCTGTTGTTGAATATATTCATAGACAAATCCAGAATCTCCAAGTTTTTAAATTTCCTTAGGCTTCTATAACCTGCATAATCAAATCTTGTTAATGAAGTGTACAGAAACAGAATACCACTCTCTAATCATTGAACCAAGTTAAATTATAAATTATAGTCCACTCTACATGTAACTTGACACCTTAAGGAAGGAAACATATCTATGGCTTGATGTAATTCTTTGCAACATGGCATAGACTTATAACAAGTTAGAGTTTAAACTTTTTTTATGGAGAGAGAAGCCTGATGTAGTACCTTCCACATGATCAAACAATCCGTAGAATCCGGAGTTTGATAGGTCTAGACTTCGAACCTCTTCAAAGGGATGCAAGAAAGAAAGATTTAAGAGGGAATTCTCTCTGAGGAGATATCCACCAAAGGCAATCTCAGTCACGCTTCCACTTAAACGATTGCACTCAACACCCTCCCAACGGCAGCAATCCCTCTTTGTGTCATTAGTCCAAGTAGGGAAAGTATAGTCAATGGGCACAGCGTCTATAGTCATTGAGTTTATGTATTGCTTGAGCTCCAACAAAGCCATCCTTTCTTTCTCGATACAGCTTCTGTATCCATGTAGCTGCGCCAACAGTATCATCATCACCCATATCAAACTATGTCCCAAGAAAACCTTCCCTGTCATTGGAAATTGAAAAAACAAAATATTGGATTGTAAGTTTGTTTCAAAAGTCAACTTCATGTTTATATAGGGGCATAGATATAAGAATTGTTGTTTATTAATAAAGTCAATACTTTATGTGGAAGACACAAACATCATATGACATACTTTTGGCGTGCTTAGCATTATTAGTCAACGGGCATTACAAACAATGACACCACGACAACTTCTTCATCTTTAAGGATACAAGTTCAGTCATAGTCAGAGTTTATGAACTGATCATATCTATGATTTAAGTACAATGTGAAAGGAATACAACTAAAAAAAAAACAAATATGAAATGAAATGATTTCATATATTTGTCAGTCCTCACAAGACTAAATTAAAAATGATTAAACTAAAGAAAACCGTTTACCAATGTAAGCCTGTTGAATTATTAAGCAAATAATTAAATACTAATTCTACCACACAATCTGACCAAAACCACTCAACCAGATGATTGATGTGCAAGAGTCACTATCATTCCACAGTCCAAAATTATGTTTTGTAAGCAAAATGATAAACGGGGATACCATCTGAATAACCCCTCCTCATGCTATCAACATGCCAGTTTCTAGCATGAATGTAAAATATCAAAGATAGAAATATAACAAATTTCTGAAAGGGTGTCTAGGAGAATAGAAATAGAACATAGAAAATCCAGAGACACAGAATTACAGAGACTGCAATACAAAACTCAAAAGAAACACACCTTTAACACTAAAAGGGCCATCCATCTTGCTGAACCCAAGAAACAGAGTTGTAACTTGTGAGTGACATAGCAGCGTTAAGAAAGAGAAACATGATGTTGTTAAATTCATTTGTCTTATGTTGTTAAATTCATTTGAAGACAGAATCTTAATGTTTCTTAACCTACTTGAGCTTTTATATTTATGAACCGCTAAATACAATAAATAATACTCAAATAACTTGTAATTTAAATCCACAACACCTATACGGAAAGACAAGAGAGGGTTCAAGCTTTTTTTTTCCTTGATAAGGAACATCCAAGAACTGAGCTGAAACAATTTTAAGACACCTTACTTTTCAAAGATTCCATGAAAACATCAACAAGGTGAAGCCATGGTCGACACCAAGGAAAATCAAAGTATATCAGTACTAGAATGCCTATTAACGCAACCACATAAAATAAAAAAGTACTCCAACAGAAAGCCAACAAGTCAATAACAGATTCATCATCTTCTTCTTCTTCTCTTACATTATCTCCTTCTCCTGAGCTCGAATTGTTGTTCCCTGATTGGTTAAAGAAACTAGGAAGCTGCAGCAGAGGGTTTCCTAGAAAAGATTCTTTGCCAAAAGTTGCAAGCTGTCCTCTAGATGGCACCACACCAGTAACCAAAGGGTTATACGAGATGTTGAACTTACTCATCTCATTCAACTCATTCAAACTCGTTGGAAACTCTCCTGAGAAATTGTTGTAAGACAAATCAAGATTCTGCAGATTGTATATATCTCCAATTTCTTTCGGAATCTGCCCTGAGAACTTGTTTCTTGTCAGGTTAAGAAACACAAGAGGCAATTCTCCAATCTCCTTAGGCAGCTTCCCTTCAAACTCATTGAACCCCAAATGAAGCATACTCAACTTCCTCATCTGAGATATATTTGCAGGAACCTCACCAGACATCTTGTTTCCACTGAGCTGAAGATAGCCTGAAACATCAAGAGGACCCACAACAGAACCAGGAGGAGGAGAGGAGCAAACAGGAAATATACATTTCCCTTTACGAACATGTTCCCACAAGCTTCTGCAACTTCTTTTCGCAAGAGTTTCTAATCCAAATATGAAAGGAGGGAACTCTGCAGGTATCCATCTCTTCATCACCAAGCATTCACCGGAGCCAGCAACTATGTAGTCCTTGTTTCCCCGGTTCAATTCAAACGTTGGAGTAGGGTTACTACCCATATTAGTTAACTCAGGATGAAAGTCACCAGAGAGCTGGTTGTTTGCCACGTTAAGCCACAACAGACTCGAGCAGTTCCCAATCTCCCGAGGGATCTCCCCTGACAGAGAGTTATTTGCAAGCATAAGCCACAAAAGAGATGTCAACTTCCCAAACGAAGCTGGTACTGAACCAGTCAGCTTGTTAGAAGAGAGATCAAGTGCTTGAAGCCCTGTCATGTTCCCATACTCTTTAGGTATATCACCGGTAAACTTATTATAAGCAAGAATCAAGAACGTCAAACTCTGCATCCGAGAGATCTCAGGAGGTAACTGTCCTGAGAACTTGTTGTAGCTAAGATCTAGCCTTGAGAGATTAGGTAACGTGAGGATGTTAGAAGAAACGATACCTCCAACGTATGAGTTCCCATATAAACTTAGATACTTCACTTGAGTGAACCTCCCGAATATTCCCTGCACATCTCCTCCAAAGTTGTTTCTGCTTAAGCCTAGAAACACCAAGTTGTTCAAGTTCAGGAGAGTTTCAGGTATCTCTCTAGAAAACATATTATTCCCCAAGTGTAAACCTCTGAGAGATGATATGGATCCTATCTCAGCTGGAATGTTTCCCATGAAGTTGTTTCCCCACAGATCCAACACCTTCAGGTTCTGACAATTCGAAACTTGTCCCGGAAACTCCCCAACAAAACCGTTTCCAGACAAATCCAACACTTGTAAAGTGCAGTTCCTTCTGAACATTGTAGATGTGATCTTCCCGGAGAGACGATTCCCTGAAACTGAAAACTTGACCAGCCTACTAAAACCAGGCCATATCTCTCCACTGAATCTATTGTATCTCAAGTTGACATACTTCAGATACCTACACTCATTGAAAACGTCATCTATTCTGCCAGTAAAGCTATTGGTGGATAGATTTGCAACAACCAAGCGGGTGCAGAGCGTTGGGAAGGTCGAGTGAAGATGACCAGAAATTTTATTCACTGAGAGATCAAGAACTTGGAGATTTGGTAGCCCGGAGGATAAGCTAAGCTCTCCTCCAATGATGTTATGAGAAAGATTCAGATGCTTTAAGTTGTGGCAACGGCTGAGGTCATCTGGAATCGAACCTTGGATGGTGTTACTTGATAAATCGAGAAATGTGAGATGAGTTAAGGCAGAGAAGTTGGCGAATAAAGGACCTGAGATGGTGGAATCTCTTAGATTGATCTCTGTGACTCTTCTACTTTTCTCATGGGTACATGTGATCCCTGGCCATTGGCATACATCTTGCTTCTCTGTTGTTTTCCATTCATTGTACTTTCCTCGTTCTGTTGGGTTCCAAGATTCAAGGTGAGATTTGAAGTTCAATAAGACTTGGATATCACTGTCCAGAGAATCTTCGGTCACTGCTGTGGCTGTCATCAAACACACAGAGAAAGTAAAATCTTAAGTTAGCTTTAAGAAAACAAAGCAAAAACCAGCAACCACGTTGTTCTACTCCTATTATACTCAAACAGAGAGGAAAACATGTGGAGCATGGCATACAGATTTGAATCCATTGAAGTAAACATCAAAGAAACATATACTCAAGCAGAGCAACAGAGAGAGAAACACATACTCAAACAGACAGTACATAGTATTTGATATTAACAGAGAGAGAAAAACAAAGAAGTGAAGTATTATTACCGGTGATGAAAATAAAGAGTAAGAAAGAGAACAAGCTAGGTGATTTAGAATCACCATCTGCCATAATCCGAGGAGATGATACCATCTTCTAGTTTAAGTTGGTAATAGTCAGGTTTTCCGTATAAACACAATGAACAAGAAATAATTGTGTGTTGTACAAAGTCCAAGTCTCATTTAATGAAAGCACTTATAGTCGTGGGGCAACAACATCGTTTACTTTGAGAACTTTGTAGAAAACTAGTACTATTCATAATCCTTTGATACGTAAAGCGTGGCGTTGTCAGCATCTTTCACTTTGGTCAAAGCCATTAATTATTATAGGAAAAGGCAAACAAAGTATCCAAAGATCTAACCTTTTACCATCACCACAGGCTTATCGAAAATTATGGCAACGAAAGATCTAATCTTTACACACAAAAAATAGTTATGTGGTAAAACGAAAGAGCTGCGAAACAAATGACTCAACGGTAATGCTGATGTGGCTTTATCTGCCACGTCATGTTACCGCCAAAACGTGAAACGCTGCCGTTTGTACTACATAAAAAAAAATAAAAATAAAACTGGTTATTGCTCATCTTACTGCTAGCTTGCCTCACTGATATGGCTGTCTCTTCTTCTTAGTGTGTGCGCTGGAAGGACATTGTTCCCACTACCTTGCAAAGGAGCCAAAGGCGCTAAGTTGCTGATTCAGACTTCACGTCCTTATAACAGCCTACACAGAGGTTCCAATGGAGAGATCACAGAAGAAACTGCAGCTACATACCCTTTGAGTAATCTCCTTGTGCTTCATTTGATTTTTGCTCACAGAAATAAAGAAACTACGGTCAAAACAGAGATTACTTTCTATTGCTGGATAAAATCAGTTGAACGCAACTCTTCTGGTACAAGAGAAAGTTTGAAGCATTACATTTATTCAAAGATAGACAGTAAGTAGTACACAAGAGCTAAAGACAAGTTATACTCTTGTTTTTGTGATATTATCTTAAAGGTTTTGGTGGAAAACAGCAATAGATGGGGATAACATAAAGAAACCAGCACACAAAAAGGATTTAGCGCAAATTAAAGGAGTAGATTTACCAGATCATATTCCTCACCTTGCGGAGGAAAGCATCAACCATGTTGAACCAGGCTCTGCTCCAAGGAGAATCAAAAGAGAGTGATGCAGCTATTCCAAGAAGTATGGTCACATAAGCGGCAGTTAAACTCCAATAGAAGGATACCGTGTCGATTATGTATTCATCATCTTCCCCTTCATCATCTGGTTCTTGAACGTCATCATTACTGTTGCAGCTTTTGTTGGTTGGCTTTCCACAGAGAAAAGGATTGCCTAAGTAGCTCTTTGCATCAAAAGTATTGAACTGTTTTCCTTGTGGAATGACTCCTGATAAGTTGTTGTATGAGACATTGAAGACCCCAAGATTGTTCAGCTCTGTTACTTGTGGTGGGATCTCACCATGTAATCTATTGAAAGAAAGATCAAGACTCTCTATAGTCTTTAAACCTGAAAAACTTCTTGGTATCACCCCTGATAAATAGTTCCGAGAGAGATTCAGAGCATGCAGTTTCAGAAGACCTCCAAGCTCTACTGGGATCTCACCACTTAACTCATTATGGGAGAGATCTAATCCGCCAAGTTCTAGGAGATTTCCACCCATATAGGCATCATATCTGTATTTTGTAGCGAATTCAATTTTAGTATGGACGCCTTCCATATAGTTCATACTAAATTCTTCAAGCAAAAGCAGAGATTTAAAATATGCTCCAACGTTATTTCCTCTCTGTACCATGCTAGGACCAATGATGACTCCATCATTACTGTAACCAATGCTTAAATTATAATAATTTAATCTGTCCTTTTTCCCCGAACCAAATGATATATTGCTGAGACATGAAGGTATGGACCCACTCAATCCATTGTTAGCAAGATCCAGAAGGTGAATATTGCTTAGACCACACAACTGATGAGGAATACCCCCTGTAAAATTATTCCCCCGAAGGAGAAGAATGTTGATGTTTTGGCTACTGATGAACTCAGGAATATTCCCAGACAATCTATTATTTCTCATATCAAGTATGCTGACATTCTGTAGCAGAGAGTGTGGGATATCATTTGAGAAATTATTGTCTTGCAGAAGTAACACTACTGGATAACTAGAATTTACATGTGGAGGAGGTATATCACCTGATAACATATTTGCAGAGAGGTCCAATAGCCCCAGACGTGGTATGTTGAACAATGAAATTGGTATCTCACCTTCTAATGAGTTGTTTGAAAGCAACAGTGCAGATAAGAGTTCAAATTCACCAATCCAACTTGGAATAACACCTGTAAGATTGTTGTCCGAAATGTCAAGCACTAACAAGGATGTCAAAGTTCGCAAACCATTTCTGATCTCTCCTGTAAACGAATTGTTGTCCATAGATAGAACCGTTATATAGGTAAAGTTGGCTGTCTCTGGAAAAACCTCTCCACTTAGTTTGTTATGTGAAAGCTTTAAGATCGAAATGGAATAACAACCCTTTATGAAACCTTTTGGTAGCGTTCCATGGAAACTATTGTGAGATATATCCAGATAGTGAATACTTTTCATGTTACCCAGAGAAGCTGGCAGATTTCCTTGAAAACTGTTCTTTGCTATATTCATGTATTGTAAATGAGGAAGTATCCACCCAATGTTCTGAGGAAATACATTACTGAACTCATTCATTGACAAATCCAAGGAAAACAAGTTATGAGCAGAATCCGGTAGCTGAAAGCTCACAAAAGAATTATTTTGTAGAAGCAGAACTTCAAGTTTAGAATTGTTAGCCAACAACCATGAAGGAAAATTTTCAGCTATTTTATTGTCAGAGAGATCAACATGACGCAAATCATTCTGATGTAAAAGAAAATGAGGAACCCTTTTTAAGTTGCAAGATCGTAGGTCAATAATACTCAGCTGAAATTTTGGCTTCCAAGAACTTTCTGACACTACTTGGAACGAGTTGGATTGTGAGCTAAATTTCAACACCCTAAGCACAGAGAGGTTGGCTAGAGAACCAAGTGAGAAGAAGCCTTCAAAGTTGTTATCAAACAACGACAAATACTCAAGGGATTTAAGGTTACCGAGGGAAGATGGTAGTGTACCAGTCAATTGGTTTAATGAGAGATCAAGAACTCGAAGTCCCATCATGCTAGTTAAACATAAGGGAAAATCTCCTACTAGTTTGTTTTGGGCGAGGTCTAGCTCTTGCAGATTCTTCAAATTGCAAATCCCTGGGGTAATCAAATGCAGAACTTTTGTTCAAGTAAATAAACATGATTTCAACCAGATCTTCTTTTTAAACGTTAAATATGAAAATATTTGAACAAACTTGCCTTGCAGTCCTATTGAGCCAGAAAATATATTACTCCTTAGACTCAGAGCTTTCAGATTCTTCAAGGGAGATGACTCTGTCATAAGAAGAAAAGAATCTTTAAACAGATGCATGCTCATCTCTCAGCGCCGATTACAAGTTGTATTATGCAACCCCAATAATAAGGGACAAATATTAATGGACAGTAGTTCTGACTTCTGAGCTACCTTGTATTGGTATGGAGTCATTAAGTCTATTCTCACTCATGTCCAGCAATTCCAAGTTTGTCAAATCTCTAAGTTCTGAAAGGGAGTCCAAACAAATATAATAATGCTACAACTTGAGTGTAAGACAATATTTAATAAGGATAACCATAAACTTAATTGATCTAACAACTAAGGCATCATCAATTAATAGTTGTGCAGGATATCCACCTCGTTACAAATGTGAAAACACACCTTTAAAAGGAACATGACCATCCATGTTGTTGTACAGAAGATATAGTTTCCTAAGTGATGTAGCAGCATTAACAAAAGGAAAGATGCTCCTGTTGAAATTATTTGCAGTGAAATCCAGAATCTCCAGGTTTCTTAGTCTCCTTAGGCTCTTAAAACCTGCAAAATCAAATCTTATTGACTAAGTATACAAAATGGAATAGAACTATCTAATATTTTCAGTGAGTTAAAACTACAATTTAGTCTGCTCTAGACGCAAATGAAAATGATAGAATTTGGAAGAAAACATGAGGATGCTTGATAATTTTATGCTATATGGCATAAACATCAGCATGTTAGTTATTACAGCGAAAAAGTATCTTGTTGATGCATGGGAAAAAAATCAAGTACCATCATTATTCTAAACGGTATCAATTTTTCAAGAATTTGAACAAAGCCATAAGATTAAAAAGGAAACAGTGGGGGCAGCTTAGTATACCTTCCACAGCATCAAACAAGCCACTGAATCCGGACCAAGATAAGTCCAGACTTCGAACCTCTTCAAAGGGATGCAGCAAAGAAAGATTTAGGAAAGAATTCTCTTTGGTGTACATATGACCAAAGGAAATCTCAATCACGCGTCCACTTGAACGATTGCACTTAACGTCCTCCCACCGGCAGCAATCGCTCTTTGTGTCATTGGTCCAAGTAGGGTAAACAAAGTTGGATTTCCCTTCTTTAGCAACTGAGATCATGTATTTCTTGACCTCGAATAAAGCTGACCTTTCTTTTTGAATACAACTTTTGTAACCGTGTAGCTGCCCCAGCAGTATCATCACCCAAATCAGGTTTTGACCCATGAACACCTTGCTTTTCGTGGGATTGAGCATTAAAACTGTTTGTTCGGTGCCCAAAATATAGATATTGAGAGAAATGGAAAAGCCAAGTTGCGCAAGAAAAATATTTAGAAAGTCAAATAGTCAGTATCATCTATACACACTCATATCTCTTCATTATTAAAAAAAATCAGATGATATACTTGTAGACTATATAAACAACAGTTTAAGGTCTCTGCAGAGAATACTTATAATAATATAAAATGTGAATGGTCAGCATCTTTTACTTCGACAAAGTTTTTATTATACTATAGTACTATCATATGATTTTGCTTGTTAGTTGACAGATTGTAAGATATTGATGTTCAAGACACTCACAGGTTATATATCAAGGACTTGGTCATACATATCAAGGAATTGTTTCTTAAGCTAATACGAAACAATTTTAACAAAGTTGGTAAACCTTGAAAAACCACTAGACTTGAGGAAAAGACCAACAGTGACAAAGTTGCTGTTAATATGAACAGATCCCAAGGTCATGTCAACTAACACTGAGAGCAACTTATTATCCATGTATATACCCGGTTATGTGTACATTGAGTCTGTATAGATTGGTTTAGTGGTTTAGTGGTTAAGGCTTCTGGTTAGCCTGATTGAGTCATGTATATAAACCAGCCCAATTGTATCTTTTCATAATTAATGGGAATGAGTTTATTTACTAATATGGTATCAGAGCGATATAAACTTGTTCCCTAACAACCTCACCGTCTAACAACCTCATCCTCGTCTTCCGCCGTACTCCACCACCGTCTTCCGCCGTTCTTTTTCATTCTTCACCGCTCTTCTTCATCTCCGATTCTTCTCGACAAGCTTTCAGTCCTTTCTCCGTGCATTCTCAGCTCAATCTCGCGATTTCTCCTCTTCGCTTCTCAGCTGATTGTGATATCAATGGGGAAACGGAATTGCAAGTCGAAGTATCGTCGTTCTTCGCCGGATCCACCGGATTTCGAATCTCCGGTAACTCGCGATCAACCTTCTGGTTCTATTCCGTCGCGAGCTTCTCCCGGTTCTCAGGATCGTGTTCTTCCTAACCGATCTACTCCTGCTACATCAGTTGCTCGTTTCGAGGTATCAACTTCTCCTGATAGCATACACTCACCGTATTATCTCCATAGCTCCGATAATCCAGGACTTGTTTTAGTATCGGAACTTCTTGATGGTAGTAATTACGGTGTATGGATCATTGCTATGACTACTAGTCTAGAGGCTAAGAATAAGATTGGCTTTGTTGATGGAACAATAGTTAAACCTCCTGAGACTGATCCTTTCTACAAGATATGGAATCGTGTGAATAGTATGATCAAGTCTTGGTTGCTGAACAGTGTGACGAAGCAGCTTTATACTAGCATTCTCTACTTCAAAAATGCTAGTGACATTTGGAAAGATCTTCACACACGGTTTCACAAGTCTAATCTTCCTCGACTATACAAACTTCGGCATCAACTTCACTCTTTTCGTCAAGGAAGTTTGGATCTCTCTTCGTATCATACGAAAACACAATCACTTTGGGAGGAGCTATCTAACATTCAGGTTACGAGTCAAACTGTTGAAGATCTCTTGGCTGAAAGAGAAACTAATCGCATTATTGACTTCTTGATGGGACTAAATGACAATTACGAGAGTATAAGGAGCAGAATCCTTATGAAGAAAGTGTTACCTTCGTTCTCTGAAGTGTATAATCTGCTTGATCAAGAAGATAGTCAAAAGGAGGCGCGTTCTCATGGTTCATCTGGTTCATCTGATCTTTCTGCTGCGGCCTTTCAGGTTTCTCAGGGTACTAGTTCAGGACAGACTAAGTCTACTCCAACCACTGGCTATCATTCTGGTTATCAACGCAGAGATCGTCCTTTCTGTACTTTCTGTCAACGTCCAGGACATGTGGTTGATAGATGCTACAAGAAGCATGGTTATCCTAACAGTATGAAGCCAAATCAACGGAGTGATAAATCTGTTCCTTCTGTCTCTGCAAATGTTGCAAATGTTGCTATCTCTGAGCCGAGTCCGGTCAGTGAACCACAATCTGAAGATCTCTCTCCCACTCAAATCCAGCAACTGGTTTCATTCTTGAGCACCAAACTTCAGAATCCAGCGTCTCATCCTACTCCATCAGTTCATTCTGTTTCAGCTTCCATTCCTTCTTCATCAACTACTCGTTTATAGCAAAACGATTCAAGAAGATAAAGAAAATGCAAGACCATGATCATATATCTTGCCTGAGTCTCATCGTTATAGCGCGGTAAACTCATTGAGTTCCAGTTGTTTATGTCACCCATTTTGGTTAACAATTGGTTTAATTTTAACCGGTCAAAATTAGCGAGCGAATCTAAATCAACGCTCAAGATTACCTCATATTAATAAACGGACAGGATGAGCGATTCTAGTTGACATAAGCCCTTGTCTACCGGCGAGAATTGAAGACGCTTCCAGAGAGATCGTTTCTCCGTTAAACCCTAGAAGAGTGAGTTTCAGTCTCGCCAATGCTTCTCTTTCTGATTCGTTTGCTCATCTGAAACAATTGAGATTGTTCTCTGTTTATTCGTTTTCTAGCTCATCCACTGTGATAAAGTTTGTATCTTTCTTGTGTGTTTGCATTGTTTATTTTATGAAAGTTTGCTTTTTTTATTACTTATATTGACGATTGAATTGATGGGTCTTCGGCATATTCATGAGTTTCATCTTTTGGGTTGTTCTCTGTTTTTCTAACCACTGTAGTGAAATGCTCTTTTAATTGTTTACAGGATAACAGATACGTCACAACATGGCTTTCTTAAGTAAAGTTGGAAGGATATTTAGGCAGACTAGCACTCATGTTAATGTCTCTAAGTCTATGCTACAGAGCATCCGTTGCATGTCTTCTTCAAAAATCTTTGTTGGAGGTGACTAACTACTCTATTGTGGGAGAAAGTATTCTCTCTTTTTATTTGGTTTTGTTTGTTTCAAAGTTATATATGTTGGTTTCAGGTATCTCCTACAGCACTGATGAGTTTGGCTTAAGAGAAGCTTTTAGCAAATATGGAGAAGTTGTTGATGGTAATTTTCTATCTCGCTTTAAGTTATTGCAAGCTTTTAAAGTTTTAACTTCCTTTTGCTTTTACTTGGGAGCTGACTACAGATTTATCATGTGCAGCGAAAATTATTGTGGACCGTGAAACTGGTAGATCAAGGGGTTTTGCTTTCGTAACGTTTACTTCTACGGAGGAGGCTAGTAATGCCATGCAACTGGATGGACAGGTAACACACAAATGTTCAAACCTCTTTATGATAATAAGAAGTCATGTGGCTTATTCCTTTGTCATTCAATGTCTTGCTCTGAATGTTTGACGTTTTTTCAAATCGGTTGTTTCTTGACAATGCATGTTTCTAGAACAATTAAGTTTTTGGCCTTTACACATTGGTATCACCATCTTAGCCTTAATTACTAATCATTCGTTAGGCAGAGACTTCCTCTCTCTAAATGTATTGGCTGAAATGTGGAGCAATATATCATTCTGTTTGTTGGTTGTATATCTAGTTTGAAAATAACTCTGTTTTCAGACTGTGTCTATATGATTCAGACAATGCTAAAATCCGTTCTTTTTTGCTTTGCATTTTCAATTGGCCATTTATTGAGCGTTTTTTTGTATACAGGACCTTCATGGTCGAAGAATTAGAGTGAACTACGCTACTGAAAGAGGAAGTGGATTTGGAGGAAGGGGGTTCGGTGGTCCAGGTGGGGGTTATGGAGCTCCAGGTGGTGGTTACGGTGCTCCGGGTGGTGGTTATGGAGGAGGCGGAGCTGGTGGGTATGGTGCTCCAGCTGGTGGTTACGGAGGTGGCTCTTATGGAGGAAATGCAGGTGGTGGTGGTTATGGAGGTAACGCTCCTTATGGTGGCAACGCCGTTGGTGGTGGTGATGGTTATGGAAGCAACTTTGGGGGAGGATATGGTGTCGCTGGTGGTGTTGGTGGAAGTGACAACTTTTCCCAAGGCAGTTCTTCTGGTGCTGGTTTTGATGACAAGTTTAGCAGCAACGAACCACTAGGCAATGATACGGATCATCAGCTTGAAAGCGCTGGCGTTGACAATCAGTTTGGTGGCAGTGACAACCAGTTTGGTGACTCGGAGAACAGTCAAACAGAGGTTGGTCCAGACGGGTTTGATCAGACTGATGACGGTGATGTTGCCAAGAGAGCTTAATTTCTACAATGCTGGTGCCGCCTATGTTCTTCTCTTGGGCTTCTTGAAACTTTTATTTGCAGTTTCTTAATTTATGTTTTTAACGTTTGGGGTTGTTTTATCATCTAGAGACCTCTATTGTTGGTTGTTTCTAATGTTTTTGACATTTGAGGCTCATAAATAATAATTTTAAAACTTATAACAGACTCTTATTCTATTTGAGATTTTCTACTAGAGGACTACCAGTTCAGTGAGTTAATAAGATAAAAAAAAAACTGAAAACGATCCAATCTTCTTTGGTTTAGCATATGAACAAGTCTGCTCGACTCTGTTTACAAGACGACAAGGAACTTGCATTTACACAAATCAGCATGTAATTATATGAAATTACAATTTTACCCGCTAATTTTCTGAGCAAATTTTTAAACTGAAATTAAAATTGTTTCAGTGAATCGTCGCGGTTCAGAAGCGCGCAAAGTCTATTCACTAAAACCTCATAAGCCCTAACACACCTGGAGAGATACAGTCGCTTCCTCTCTGCACAACGACGACAATGACGATAACGGATTCGAATCACGAGCAACCTCCTCCTCTGAGTAACCGTAACACTATCGAAATCAAATCTACTCAGTATCCATTCTTCGGTAAGCACATATTCTCTTCTTCGACTCATCGCTCTCTTTTGGTTTATACAATGTGAAGCAAATCTGAGAAAATAATCGTTGTAGATTGACTTATCGCATGTGATTACGTTTAGACGGTTAGTTTCTCAGCGAGATGTCTAGATTCCGTCCGATGATCGTGATGAGAACACTCCGATCATGCTCAGTGGCGTTGTATCGGAACCCTAGATAGTTCAAAAATCGTTGTAGATTGTGATTGATTGCTTGTGATTACGGTTAGATGATTAGTTTCTCTGCGAAATGTCAAGATGAGAACACTCCGATCATGATCATTATTCCAGTGGTGTTTTATCGGAACCTAAATAGTTCTAAATCTATAAGTTCCATTACGTTTATGTGTATGTAGTGTGGAGAGAGTTCGTGTGGGGAGGTGTAGCCGGAGCTTTTGGAGAAGGAATGATGCATCCTGTAGATACTCTCAAAACTCGGCTTCAGAGTCAGATCATCATGAATGCGACTCAGGTATTCTCAAACTGCAGTGATTGTATGATTATTCAGTTCGTCGAGAGTGCATCATCTCTAACCTTGTTCAGCTGTTGATTTCAGAGACAAAAGAGCATTCCACAAATGCTAAGGACTGTTTGGGTTGGTGATGGATTAAAAGGTATGTCATACATACTCTTTGCCCTCTTATCTTCTTCCAGCCTTCAAGTATGGTGTTATATCCCATTTATCTATACATGTGTCCCCCTTGTGGGGTTCTTATGTGTGATTCACTATCCTATTTATCATTGTTATAAGCAACAGATGTCTAGGCTATACATGTTTGTTCTTCTATGCTCTGATTTATTGGTTCTTCTAGGCTTCTACAGGGGAATTGCTCCTGGAGTCACAGGATCTCTTGCCACTGGAGCAACCTACTTTGGTGTTATTGAATCCACGAAGAAATGGATTGAAGAGTCTCATCCCAACTTAGGAGGGCACTGGGTACATTTTTTAGCAGGAGCTATTGGTATGTTATCTTATCTCTTCTCTTCTTCTATCTTGGTCATCTGATCAATGAAGCTGTGGTAAAGATAGGAGGGAAAAAACGAATGTCCACTTAAGTGGTAGCTGATTCTGAGTGCCAAACATACAGCAGGAATGAAAATATATATATTGGCTGAAAAACAGATAATGTCAGACATTTAAATGTTATGTGATGATTCTAGCTATGAATCCTGGGTTTTTATAAGGTAAGATCCATTTTCAGTAAAACCCCACAAGAGCAAGGTCGTAATACTTGCTGGTTGCTTACTTTAGAACATATAGAACTGCAATCTTATCTAGAGTTATGTGAAGCTGGAAAGCATCTGATTCCTGTGTTCTGCTGCGTATTTCCTCTTTCAGGTGATACACTTGGTTCTTCGGTCTATGTTCCTTGTGAAGTAATAAAGCAGCGGATGCAAATTCAAGGCACTAGTAGCTCATGGAGCTCTTTTATCTCAAGGAACAGCGTTCCAGTTAAACAAGGAGGTGACATGTATGGTTATTATACTGGAATGTTCCAGGCTGGAAGCTCAATATTGAAAGAGCAAGGGCCAAAGGGACTGTATGCTGGGTATGTGATCTTCCTTCAGGCCATTATGATACCAATTGGATATCCTTCAAGGGACCCATGTTATTACTTTTCTTGTTTCCTTTGGCAGATATTGGTCTACACTAGCAAGGGATGTACCTTTTGCTGGCCTTATGGTAAGTGAAACGGTTACCTCCATTCATCTTATGGATCTTTGTCTCCTCATTTTCGTTCTGTTTTCTTTTTCACTTCTCAGGTAATGTTTTATGAAGCATTAAAGGATCTAACAGATGAAGGGAAGAAAAAGTTTCCACAATTTGGAGTTAACAGTTCAATCGAGGGGCTCGTATTGGGAGGATCAGCTGGTGGTACGTTAAGATAAGACCCGTTTAAAGAAACCATTCCGAAATAGCTCATCGGTAGTGACAACCATGTTTAATTTAATATCTCTCCAGGACTAAGCGCATATCTCACTACTCCACTGGATGTTGTAAAAACAAGATTGCAAGTGCAAGGAACAACGATCAAGTATGCCTCTCGTTCTTACGGACTCATATGATCATAATCTAGAATATCATCCTATCAAGACCTTGCTTTGATTAAACTTGGGAATCTTGATAGGTACAAGGGCTGGTTGGATGCAGTGGGGCAGATATGGAGGAAGGAAGGTCCAAAGGGCTTTTTCCGGGGAAGCGTCCCAAGGGTCATGTGGTATATTCCGGCCTCGGCACTCACCTTCATGGCTGTTGAGTTCCTTAGAGAGAGCTTCATAGAGAAAGGTAAAAATGACAACAATGTTGTCTCCAACTTGAGCATAGAGAGTAAAAGATCTTCACTACATGAAGTTAGAGACAACTAGTGAGTAGATTTTTCATCTTGTAAGATACTGTTAACAACAATCTAATCCCTCGTTAATAAAAGGTACTTATCTCTAATTTCCATTTTTATATTAGTTTATTCTAAACAAAAACGAAATAAATAAGTTATTATTATATATACAAACTTCAGACAGCGTGAACTAGTTTGTGTTTAAAACGATAACAAAAGAGGAACTAGTCTAAAAACCCTAAGAAACAGATGGCGTCTTCTTCTCGCTCAGAGAAACGATGCCTCTACGAAATCCTCGATGTAACCAAAGAATCAACCCCGGAAGAGATCCGATCCTCCTACCGGCGTTTAGCCCTCCAGCGTCATCCCGACAAGCTAATCAAAGCCGGGGGAATCTCGGAAGCAGACGCCACCGCCCAGTTCCAAGAGCTCGTCCACGCCTACGAAGTTCTATCCGATCCCAAGGAGCGAGCCTGGTATGACTCCCACCGATCTCAAATCCTATTCGCCGACGGCGGAGGCGGCGGCTCGAAATCCCGTGGAATGCCTGGCGCCACCGTCCCGGATCTATTCGCTTTCTTCTCCACCACTGTTTATTCAGGCTACTCAGACACGGGGAAAGGATTCTATAAAGTCTATTACGATGTGTTCAACAGTGTTTACTTGAACGAGATTAAGTTCGCGAGGACGTTGGGGTTGAGTATTGACTCTGTGAGAGAGGCTCCAATCATGGGGAATCTAGAGAGTCCCTACACTCAGGTGACGGCGTTTTATAACTACTGGTTAGGGTTCAGCACTGTGTTGGATTTCTGCTGGGTTGATGAGTATGATACCATGGCGGGACCTAATAGGAGGATGAGGAGGAAGATGGAGGAGGAGAATAAGAAGGTGAGGAAGAAGGCGAAGAGGGAGTATAACGAGACGGTGAGAGGCTTGGCTGCTTTTGTGAAGAAGAGGGATAAGAGAGTTGTTGATATGATGGTGAAGAAGAGTGCGGAGATGGAGTTGAAGAAGGAGGAGGAGAGGGAGAGGAAGAAGAAGATGGAGAAGGAGAGGTTGGAGAAGGCTATGAATTATGAGGAGCCTGATTGGGCAAAGGCTGAGGATGAAGAGGAGGTGGAGGAGGAAGAGGTGGGAGGAGAGGGAGAGGATGGTAAGAAGAAGAATGAGCAGTTGTATTGTATTGTGTGTAGTAAGAAGTTTAAAAGTGAGAAGCAGTGGAAGAACCATGAACAGTCTAAGAAGCATAAAGAGAAAGTTGCGGAGTTGAGAGAGACGTTCAGTGATGTGGAGGAGGAGGAAGAGGTTGATGAGATGCATGAAACTGTAGAGGAGCTCAAAGAGTTAAATATGGACAACGAAGAAGAAGAAGTTGAGGAGGGAGTTGTTGATGAAACTGATGATGAGTATTGTATGGCAGAGGAAGATCTGAAAGGATCTAGTGAAAGTGAGGATGAAGAGATGAGTCTACTCAAGGAAATGGTACAAAAGAATAAGAGAAAGAACGTTGTGCCAAGAGAAGAAGAAGATGAAGTTCACGTTGAGATTGAGAGCGACAGCGAATTTGATAGCCAGAAAAGCACAACGGAGAGGAACAGAAAAAATAAAAAGGAGAGAAGCAAACGGAATGCTGGAAAAGACACGACGGATGATGATGCCAACAAAACAGAGATAGCTATGGACGACGGTAATAATTCAGATGAGAATGTTAACGCAACGGACTCAGCTGCTGGAGCAGTTGAGGAGTCTCAGAAGGATGAAGCGGATCCAATGGAGTATGATAACAGGAAGAGCACAGGGAGAAGGCGAAGAAGTAAGAAGGGTAAGGATAAAAGCAGTGAAGCTGATGATACTCAAAAGGGCGTGGAAGAGTCTCATTCAGAAACGTTTGAGAATCAAAGTGAGTATATAGAATTCAAGAAGGCTCCAAGATCAAAGAAATCAACCAGAGGAATGAAATCCAAGGTATAAATCTTTCTTCCCTTGTAGCATCTGTTTCTTGAAATCATATATATATTTACACATCAAAACGCAGGGCACATCGAAGAAAGCCAGTAATAACGAATGCGATAGATGCGGAGAGGAGTTTGAGTCGAGGTTAGTCCATTCATTCTCTTGACATCTTTTGTTCTCTAGTATAATGTTGACCCACCATTTATCTTCCATGGCCAGGACAAAACTATTCAAGCATATAGCAGATACTGGTCATGCGACAGTGAAATCCCGATGATTCCATTGTGCTCAATTTAAAGGATTATGCAGAGAAGAACCAAGAATTGCATTCTTTGATACATTTTATAAACTGGACACAATGAAGAATAAAGGCTGGAATGAGAGGGAGGTAAACAACGTTTTTGACATTGGTGTAGTGCAAACGGATTGATGATCTTTGAAACAAAAATTTTGGGGATTGAATTGATGATCATTTGGTCGTCTCTGTTGTCTTAATCGATTATATATTTATTTTTGATATGAAAGAACAAAACGTAGACAATTGTCACAATAAGTTCATTCGAGGTCATATAGTTAAAGACCTTTTGGTTCACCAAAACATTTTACACATCAGTGTGACCCAGTGAATCAAATAGAGAACTCTCAAAATAACAAAGTAGTACTCACAACAAAAGTACCAAGCTTCTTTTTTGTCTCCAGTATAATCCATTGATGATATGTAAAACAATCCTTAAGCCTCTTTAAATGATATTCATATGCAGAAACTCGGTATAAGAGGAGAATGTAGAAAGATTTCTAATAAAACCAGATCCATGATTCAAAGTCTATTTAAAGAACCTCCAAACACTTCAAACAAAGAAAGGAAACTGCATCCAATATCAAAATACAAAACGAAGAACTAGTAGGGCAAAAAAACAACAGCTAAATCAAAGTTTATGCTGCTTTACTTTCGCTTCAAATGTTACTCGGATACATGAAGACTCTCACCCTCATTCCCTGCAACACAAAAACAAATGTCTACATTAAAACCCCAAGCAGAAGATTCAACATCTACTACACAAGGTAATGATTTGATGAATACCATGGACTTAGGAGGCAAGTTGGACGTGAATTTAGCACGGACAACACCGCTGTTACCATGAGGTCTTGTAACCTTTCCCCAGATGCAACGGTAGTGGCTACCGTTCTTCTTGGTCTTAGCCTTGTAGATGTAAGCCATCCTCTTTCCCTTGTACCATGTCACTTCCTCTGTAGTGTTGACTCCTTCGATCTGGATTAGGGATGTGTTTGGGTACTGGTTAGACTTTGACCTGCACAAATAAAAAAAATGTCAGAAACCAAAGGAAAACTAACTACATAGAATGTTATCAGACAACTAACTACATAGATGTTGTCTCAGACCAGATGAGATCCTATCAGTTTCAGTTACATAAACTAATTTATTTATCATGGTTTCATTACATTGAATTAAGGATGGAGACAAAACAAGAACCAGTAAGCAGTATACAATTGAAAAGCATAGAGATTGAAGTAAAGGTGTTCACCTTTTGTATCCCAAGATGGTTCCCCTGACGTAGAGTCTGCACAGTTTGATAAGATAAAAGAAAAAAAGATTTAGATTTGATCCAAAGATTCAGTTACATTAAAACACTATAAACAAGAAAGGAAGAAGAAAGACCTGACACGTTCTCCTTGACGTCCCTTCACCATTTTTGCAAGACTGCTGCTGCTGCTGCTGCTGCTACTGAGGTAAACGGAGAAGACAAACCCTAGTAGTTAAGCACGAATTTATATAGTGCTACTTTTTAGATTAAATTTGAATGGGCTTATGGGCCTACAAACTTAGCTTGGTAAAATATTGAAACATATTTAAATGGGCTTAATACCTGGCTACTCCAGGGCTACACTAACCTTCTACCATACCTTCTACAATGTGATTATGTGTGTATATATGGCTTTAATTTTGAGCAGTTTTGGTTAACAAAGACGACTGTGGTGAATAGTCGGGCATTTTATCCGAAACCCGAAAACCGAACCGAAAAAACCGATACCGAAACCGGACCGAAAATTACAAAAACCCGAACGGTTCCTATTTCTCTAAATCCGAAAAACCGAAACCGAACCGGGACCGAACCGAGAACCGAACGGGTATCCGAATATTGTAAATATAATAAAAAATATTAATTATTTTTAGTTTAATATACATAAAATATATTTTTAAAATAAAAATATCCAAAAACCCGAATTACCCGAATATTTTTTGTACTTAACTCGATTTTTCGGTTCTTTTTTTTTGTTTTTTGACTTTAAACCCGAACCAAACCCGAACTATTTTTAATTCGGTTTCACTTTGGGTTTTATAAAAAAACAGAAAACCCGACCCGAACCCGACATTACCCGAACCGATCCGATCCGAAAAATTCTCGGTTCCTAAACATCCCAATCCGAATAACCCAAAAACTGAATAATCCGAACCGACCCGAACCAAAAACCCGAATGCCCAGTGGTGAAGACTGAAGAGTCATACATAATGATATTTACCATTTTTCGGAAATTAAAAAAAAAAAGATGTAACGTGTTTTAGGTTGAGTAAAAGTTGTGAGTTCTAAATTTTACCATTCAATCACTTGACACCGTTTATGGATTAGGCGTAAACCTCTCAATAGACAAACACAACAAGAACGATAAAGAACCATGAACTGAACTATTATTTTAAGGTAAGGCAAAAAAAAATCAAGCCTTCTTCTTTTTGGATTTGAGCATGACCATGCCGATGAACACAGAAAAAAAGAAAGAGGAGAGTTACGCCCGCAAAGACAGGTACGAGAATGGCATAGTCTTGAGGCAAGAAGTACTTGTGGATGAAGTGATTACTGTCTACAAATTGCTGTTGCAAAAGGAACATTATAACACGTGAGCTTCTTCCTAGTACTATCCAAGATCCAAAACATTAGTACATTGAAAATATGTACTTATAAGGAACTTGGAGGATATGTTAGCTGTCACTTACGAGGATGATGACCGAGAAAGTATGGTAGGTGAATATAGATAAGCTGATTTAAGATAATAGAAGCCCCACTGCTCGATCCGCTAACTCCATTTTGTCAGGTGCAATACCTGCATGCACCACAGCATTGAAATATACAATAAAACGAATCAAAATTTGACCTAGAAATATGTATAAACAACTTGCACCACTCTTAGTGGAGAGAGAGAAGGTGATCATCTCCAGGCTCCAAAATCAATGTCTTGAAATGATATAGAGGTCTCTCTCAGGTGTTGCTTATACATATCCGAGCTGATCCTTCTTCTCGCTTAATCCACCATCTGATTCAATGGGTGAAACTGAGAGAAAGCCAGCAAAAAAGTGTTTACTAATGCAACATTGCAGGATAAACTTGTTGAAGACAGATTATACAACATTGTCAGAAAGTGGGTCTTGCAGTATCACCGCTGAGAAAACATAAGCAAAGCAACCAAACTTGGTTTAATTTAAAACATGTTATTCTCTTTGTTTCATGAAGAACGCCAATTTTAAAACTTTCATACAAATTAAGAAAAAAAAAACACAAGAACCAAGAAATAACAGGTTAAAAAACAAGAACCATTAGTCCATATCACTTAAACCTATTTGAACTTGGGATAGTAGTAAATATTGGCATAACATATTACATTACAAAAGTTCTATCAAGTTTATACGTATTGTATAAAACTTATGTAATAAATATAACTTGGGATAGTAGTAAATATTGGCATAGCACATTTTATTTGCTTTTGATTAACATTTTACCAAAAAAATAAATATATATTACATATTTATAAAATATCGATAGAATTAATTTAACGATGAAACGGACTACTGAACATTTAAAGCTATTATGAGGAATATTACTTTGAATTTTCTGCATATAAAAAAAACAAGATATCTTATCTACAGTGAACATTCAAAGAATATTGATAAGAAAAAAACAAAGTAAACATTCAAAGTAATTTGCCTGTAATGACGGTGGATTATACTTTAACATATTCGATGAAAATGTCAAATCTTGTAACAGGACTCTATATTATGGGTAGGTGCAATGCACATTTGTCATTGGTAGTCATTGTTTAATATTTTACAAGGGCTTATGACCAATTGTTACTATAAAGTTTTGATTTGATGATTTGATTTGGTTTACCAAAAAATAAAGTTTTGATTTTTTTTTTCTAATGATTATTACTTTTAACAAGAAAAAAAACGCCGCCCGAGGAAATTTAGCGGTAACCTTCGTCGACTTTCCACCGTGGAACTGTCTTGTGGGCTTTCTTGTAGTGCGAGTCCTAACCTTACTTTTTTACGTTGATACATTTAGAAAAAAATGGTTGAGTTTCTAGATAATGTGTCAACTACAATGGGAAAAGGAAGTTACGTGCATGCTACGAAAACAAAGACCAAATAAGTCTAGTTATACGTACTTGAATACTCCAACAAATTTATGTGTTAGAATATGCACATATATTTACTTAATGAGGAGTATTAATTTATTTTATTTTCTGACTATATGATAATATAACCCCCCCCCCCACTCCCCCAATATTTTTCTTTACCTTTAACAAGCTGCAAAAATTTACCCATTAGCTTGAGTTTAATAATTGAAAATTTTCAATTTGGTCCATTAGATAAAAAGTCGTTTTATTAAAATTTGAGCAATTCTTGATATTTTGGACCTATTTAGAATATTTGCCTTTTTCTTTTAATAATTGTTTTCTTCTAAACTGGGAGATTTGGGTGGAACCTCAGCTATGTTAATTTAATCTATTATTGCAGTGGGAATAATTAATTGTTAATCTATCAACTATAACATGAATAATCGTTCAACTGTCTACATTGCATGATTAATCACCACGAGATAGTTAAGTTATATTATTTAAGTGTACAACATACCGGTTTATACATTAGTACACGTTATGTGGCTTTATCAGAAAATAGAATGTAAATGACTTATCTACTATTTCTTTTCATTTTTATGATAAATAAATATGTGAAATGTTATCTACTATTTCTTTTCATTTTTATGATAAATAAATAAGGATTTTCTTATATCAAATGTTAGTTTGCAAAGAGACACTCTTGACCTTATAAATACTTATGTAGTTGCTTTGACAGGCATGATTATATACGTTTAAGATCTAAAACGTATTGGTTGAGAAAACTTCAATTTTAATTTGAAAGTACACGCATGCTCTCAGTTATATATTATGTGAAACAATAATCACACAAATCTTAGCAAAAAGGTTCATATTATTTTTTTTAACGAGTTTTTCTACAATTCTCAGCTTGTGTATATCAATTCAAGCGAGTGATGAAGATACAATTTGCAATAAAACTAAAAGAAAGAATGTAGTATCTACTATCTAATCAAGCAGGGTTTTCGGTTAGGATAACAAAATTAAAAAAAAAAAAAAATTAAATTTTCAAAAAGACACAATTTGCACCCAATAGAAACGAGCGAAGATATTATATATATGAATATTGATATTTTGGGGCCAAAGAAAGATAGTATACTTTTATTCTTCTGAATTAAATACATAAGAAAATAAAAAGAAAGTACGATGTGTCTGAGCGTTTAATCTGGCGCTTATTATGTCAAAGAGTGGGGAAAAAGATCGTAGTATCTGATGCATTCATAGTGATACGTAGTGAGTTATCACTGAACCTTATGGATGTTGGATGTGGCCAGTTCTATCCCTCTTGTACATTCTAAGCGTCGGTTGATTAAATAAATATTTTGCTTTTGGATGTTGGATGTTTCCCGGCCCCCTCCTAGGCCCTTAAATGTTCTTAAGGAGTATAAAAAACTAAACGAATCCATCTTTTCTTTTTCTTCTCGAAGCTCGTTTCATACATTGGAGACAAAGTTATTTAAGCACGTGGAAAATGGAGAAATAACATGGATGTAGAGTGGAGACAAACATGCTTGTTATTATTATTTTTTTCATTTCTCGTTTTAAATATTGTCAAATGAATGTGGGAGTTTGTAAACGATGGATGATCATGGATATTTTTTGTTTCTTGAGCTTTGAGTCTGAACGAGAGTTTACACGAACTTGAATGGACTCTGGTTCAAATACAGGTAGTCATGAAAATGATCATTTGTTTCATTCGAAAAAGAAAATGATCATCTGTATCATGTGTTGTGATGTGTGTAACTTCTTGGAAGAAGCATGTTAACGTATACCGAATAATTATAATAACTAAAAACAATATATTAAACGAAGAATCAAAAATAAAAAGGATACATCAGCATGAAGGTACTATATATATAGACACCCCCATTTCTTCATCCACAACTTCTGTATAAAGTCATAGTGAGAGAAAACCTTTCATAAATAAAAGAAAGTCTCTTAATAAAATCATAGATAAAAATAAAAATAAGAACAGTAATCATAGTTCACTTATTCTTTAATTTGTACTTATTATAGAACTCATTGTTCTTAAGGTCATCATCTGACTACACGTTGATTGATTAAGAGGAAGGCTCAAATCGATCAGAGAGAAGTGTACTAGCTAGATCTCGTTGGTTCGAAATGGGAAGGACGACATGGTTCGACGTCGACGGGATAAAGAGAGGAGAGTGGACGGTGGAGGAAGACCGGATGCTCGTCGCTTATATCAACAAATACGGTGTCAGGGACTGGGGTGCTCTGCCTAAGAGAGCCGGTAATAAATATATATACTTACACCCTATAGATATATGCATACATTGTGTACGGAACACCTGTCTTGTGTCTCTTTCAAAGCTATAGAATCTTTCAATTCCAGTTTCTGTCGGACCAAAGATCTTGATTTTTATTTTTGATAGTTCATTTTTTTTTTCAATTTTGTTGGTTATAATTTGTTCCAACAGATGTCCATCTATACAAAAAAAAACGATTTTGGGAGCACATATTATAAGAGCATTTGATAATTTACTGGTTTATCCGATTGTTTTATTGATAAATGTTAATATGTAACCCATGAAAACCAAGAATTATCCTGATTATTTTAGCATGATTTATGAATATAGACTGTAGTCATTCTTCTAATGTGTAAAACTATAAAATAATGAAATATTTTTTGGTTTTGTTTTAGACCCAAAATCAGAAAGTTTTATGTGATTGTGTTTTCTCCTTTTTTCTGTCTGATGAAAAAAAATGTTCAGTGTTAATAACACTATGTTTAAGTGATAATTTCACCTCATTTTCTGATATGTTTGTCCAAAATGAAATATAAATAGGTCTGCATAGATGTGGAAAGAGTTGTAGATTAAGGTGGCTTAATTATTTGAAGCCTGGTATTAAAAAAGGCAAGTTCACTCCTCAGGAAGAAGAAGATATCATCAAATTTCATTCCCTTCTTGGAAACAGGTAATTTAATTCGTCACTATATATACAACCAAACCCATTACCTTAACTTTCTTTATATATTATGATACATAATAATACTGATGATTATGCATAATTACATATATAAGGTGGGCAGCAATAGCAAAGCAAATGCCAAACCGAACAGACAATGATATCAAGAACCACTGGAACTCATGTCTTAAAAAAAGACTCCGTAGAAGTGGGATAGATCCCATAACCCATGAGCCAATCAAAGCCACTTCCTCCTTAACGAGGTCGCCATCAACACGGAGACATTCTTCTTCTACTACTTCTTTCTCCCTTTCCTCCACAGGCTCTGTGCGTCTACTTAACAAGCTTGCCGCTGGAATATCCTCGAGAAAACTTGGACTCGATAGGATCAAGACTGTGATGATATCTTCGGAACCAAGACAAGCCGTTGAAGAAGAGAATATGATGATACGCAGCAAGAACAACGAAGAGGAGAAAGTGATTGGTTGTTTCATGGAGATTGATGAGAATTTGATCAGTACGATGTCGATAGATGAGTTGGCTTGTGACTCTAGCTACTACTACTACGACGACTGGCTTCGTGGCTACTTCCAATAACTACTCCTTAATTGAACCTTGCGATTAACTAGTCGATCCCTAGTCCCTACTGTGATTTACAAGGCCCCATACAAAATAAAATATATATTCTACTATCTACATGATAAAAAAAAATCTACATGATTATGCAAAAACTTATTTGCTACAACATTTTCTTGAAAAATATAAACAACTTTCATCTTTTTTGTTTTGTTTTGAGAAAGAGCTTTTAATCTTTTGTATATCCGTATTTACATAGTTTTAATGAATTTATATGTATAAATCTATTAGTGTAATATGTTTGTTACCATATTATTGTTGAAATAAAATAAAATATCTATTTTTATCTAGAAAAATAAATAAAATGTGATATCCATAAACATGTAGGCTATATATAAATGTTTTTTTTGTGCATGTCTTCGGGAAACGGCAGTGACGATCTACACCAATCTGATTTCTAACATGAGATTTAGACCATGATTTACCCGGGATTCTTATGATAAACTTGACATATTCCTCCTTTGGAATTTACTCTTTTGGCCAAAATTCCTCTGGAATTTTATTTTTCTATGCTTTTAAAACAGAAGTTGTGTTTAGCTATACATGCATGGTCAATGTCTCTGAATTCGAACGTTACCATCCCTCTTTTTATTCGTTCACCTCTCTTTCCTACACGTTTATCCCTCATGCACATTTGAGGGTTTCACGCAATTTCAGAGAAACAACCCTATCGAGCACTATTTTGCTATAGGTATTTACCGTAAATGTCATGATGGTGTGGAGTGTAGTTGAAACTGCTTATTATGTAAGGATCCAACAACACATTAAAAAAGGGTAATAATTCATATCATGTGATTCTATCAGCATCAAACATTAAAACCCATCTTAGTCAAACATAAGCATCATATTCCTAAATCCCCAATACTGTAAATCCTATTATAAAGAATGTATATACTCTCGAATATTATATCTTTGTTTTTAACCTCACTTGGATATATTTTATCGTTTCCGTAGATAAAGGATTTATAATATTTCATGACTGTTTTTTTCTGTTTTTTTTTTTTTTGCTTAGATGCTCTTCCATGAGTGTTCTCATTTTGCTCCCGATAATTTACGTATAAGTTCATACTCTTGCCCCATGTTTGCAGAAGTAAGAATCGTATTCACTGTTTATGTGAATATGAGATGGAATTTCAACACAATTATACCGCCATTTTAATCTGAAGTGCTTTGGTTTAATCAGTTTTACGACTTGCGGAAACTCTAATTAACATTATCACCATGCATAAATAATATATGTAATATTGGGTACTTAAATAATAAGATGCCCACTAAAAATTGAGGAATTAGGAGTCAAAAGGAAGTGACTGCCTGATTATTGAAAGAACGGATCCAATATATTCGTAATTAATCAACCATATGTGTTGATTGAGATTGACAGCTATAAACACGAAAGTCCAAAGACAACATGTGATCTGTAACTTCTGTTTACTGATCAAAGTCATTCGACCTATATAGACATATCTTCTAATGTTTGTGCGAACATTAGTTTTGACAATTTGTGTCAATTGATTCATTTACATAATTTCTGCTTTAGTTATATTTAATTTAGAATATATTTTTTTTTATCATAGTGGGACTAGTTTCCGCGTCCATACTTATTTGGACAATTTAAATTATTATTTTCAAAACTTCGTATATGATAATTTATTGATAGAATTAAATGTTATATAGCTACAAATAATCATGGGCAAAAAAACCGAACCAAAATATCTGAAATCGAAACTGGATCACATTCTTCAAATATTTTAATAGTTCATATATTTCTATATCTGAAAAATCAAATCGGAATCCAAACCGAGCTGAGAACCGAACGGATATCTGAATATTCAAAAAACCAAATTCCAATTTTCTGATATAAGATAAAATGTCGTCAAACCTTTTCAAATCTAAATTAGTGTGTTGAATAAGAATAATGAGAATAATGTTATCACCATACCACATTATTATTTACTTACTCTCTTATATTATATTATAAATATATATATATATATATATTGTATTTCTAAATTAAATAGAATAGACACTTATAAAATTAACACATTAGTGATTCAATTTCTTGTTGAAATGATTAACATGTTAACTAAAATATTTTGTCAATATATTTGATTAACATATTAAACGGAGATCCATAATCGATTCGTTTAACGAAGCCGACACAAAACTGAATAAAAATCTAAAATATCTATTAGATATAAGATGATTTTGTTTGATATACTTAAAATCAAATGGTTATCATCCGAAACCAAACCAAATACCAAAATGCAAGGATTAGTTACAAACAATGAAATAAAGTGAAATTAAAATATAGAGGTTTTGACGGATGTCGAATCTGTGGATGGTCACATTTGAAGGGGAAAGCACCGTTTCAAAATTCTTATGATTTAAGGTAGGGCTCTGTTTTTATATATAGACATGGAGGTTATAATTATTTGTTCCTTTTATTCATTTTCTTGCATTCATTTTTCTTCTTTTTTTTATTAAGAGATTTTCTCTTCCTCAAAGAATTTATTTAGAAATTCTCTGCATGGTATAATCTGATTCACATCATTTTCAATTATGGTGGCCTTATTCGATTCCATTGATATTCTAATCTGAGATAACTTTTCGATTTTACTTTTAAAACTTTTTGTAAAGTAAATATTCTAAACAGTCTCCACTGTTGTTTAAATCTTATTCTTAATAGTCCTCTACACATCACCTTCTAGAAATTCTGGTTTTTATCGACGTGTAAGTTTCGCTTCCATAATTTATATTTGTCGGCTCTATAGTTTCTACAGAATAGAATTGTCAGGTCCAGAAATTTTAAAACAATCTTATATAACTAGCTTGTGGTCTGGGCCTCATAAGTGTTTTGTGCTTTGATTAACAGGTCCACACTGCTATAATGGATAGAGCGCCGCATAGCCTCAGTTTCTCAGTCAATCTAATTTTTATCACATTGTGGGTATAACTTAAATTTTCCAATCTTTGTTACATCAATTGCGATAATTTATAAATCAGTTCCATTTTAAACATTCAACCCTTTTCCAATTTTTTGTGGGTATATTTGTGAACATTTGTTTATTCAAGTATACAATTTAAGTTAAATATAAATGGTTCCTAAAATATTCAGAATAAATATTTAAATTGTATTGATTATAGATAAATAATTGAACAATGGCAAAACAATTAAACTAATAATAATTTTAACAAACACCCAGCATTAACATCATGTAAATAATCTAAAAAAGGAGAGCCTTCATAGGGTAAAGAAAGCTGATTACATAGGGTAGTAATTTTGGAGCCCAATCATAATGTTAGGCTACAACAAAATCAACCCTTCATATCTCCGTTCTTAGATGCAATCACAAGGCTTTAAATAAAAGTAACAAATATGCCTCAGAGGTAGTGACAATTGTGATTATATTCATCACTATACAATCTGATGAAAACACATCAATAGATATACATCATTGGCACAAATACATCAAAAACAAAAACTCAAAACAAATCTTAAGTGCATCAGAGAGATTCCCATTTAGACAATAATCATCATTCTACTTCTCCCTAAGGAGAATCTGATGTCCCTGTCTTTTTATCGTCACTTGCACAAGATCACAAAACAGCTTTTAAAAATATCAATGAGCGAATCAATCAGCATATGCTACCTAGCACACAGGAAACTAGTCACGTATCCAACCGTAAATAAACACAGAAGAAAAAGATTAATAATCAGAGAATAAAAAGGATTCAAGAATGCCTCAGCGTTGTTTTTTTGTTCCTAGAGACTTAGCTCTCAAAGTATATTTAATTAATACCATCACAGGCAATTCAAAACATCAAACAAAGAAAACAACGATAAACCTAAAGAACGGAGACAAAAGATCATTAATCGAATCGATTACACAAGACAATGGTTTCAAGAGAAGTGGCTATGTTCTGTCTTTGAAAAATCGTGATGCCTATAAATAGCAAAGCAGCGACGGCGAAAATTAGGTTAAAAAGAAAGAAGGTATTAATGGCCCATTAGAGGCCCAGACAGATTCTAAGGAAAAAAAAATATGGTTCACAGTTTCTTTTTTTTGGGTCAAAGTATGATTCACAGTTTCTAATTTCATAATCTATAACACAATACATATGAACATGATGATGTCTTTACTATATGCAGCGCCGGCCTTTGGACGAAGCGAAGGAAGCATCTGCTTCCGACCGCTACACTTTATTAATTATTTTGGGCACAAATAGACAGAAGTTGTCAGTAGTGTAGTGGTAACGATTGGGTCAAGTTGTCTTCAAAGACCTAGATTCTAAGCCGTTAATTTTTAGGACCGGTTCTGATTATATGACAAACTTTTAATGAGTTTAACACTTTATGACCTTAATACAAAAATATTTCATTGAATTAATTTTTTATTATTAAAACTTTTCATGTTTTCTTTTTGATTTCTTTTTTTTTTTTAAAAAAAAAACCTAGACTAATTCCAGACCGTCACGTGTTGAACCTTAGGAGAGATGAGTTCACCTGAGAGAACTTTAGGAGAGAGAGAGAGATTCATAGGTTTTTATTATTTTATTATTTTTTTTTTTGTTTTCGTGTGAACCCCCATTTGAACTCTCAGTGGAAGTGATCTAAGTACTAGATAGCTAATTCTCTTTTATGGAATTCACAAGATTTCCCTCATGTATGTATTCTTCATCACTTTGCTCTTTCGTGAATGTGGCCACTGGCCATTCTTTAACAAAAATATCAATAAAGCCACCAGGTGTTAAAATGGTAAATCATGAGCCTAGGTCAAACCCAATGGACCGAAGAGAATACTTGGGCTCAAATAAATTCAGATCATTCCATTACAGTCTGGTAAATAAGCAAAACTGACTGTTAAACCGTTGAACAATGAGGATACTTTGGTATGTGGATTTGATAACCGAGACAGAGAAACAGAGAGAAAGATATTCTCAACCATACACTCAATAAAAATGAAATAAAGCATTACATTTTTCGTTTTTCTTCTTCATTATTATACAGTGAAAAAATCACTTGTTTGAACTGAAATATCAAACCCATTTCTGTGTGAACCTAAAATCCTACGGATCTTTTTTGCCAAGCCCATGAAAGAAATCACAAGACGACAAAACAGGTACATTACTATCCTACGTGCCTAAAACTACGCCGTTTACTTAACGAAATGAGAGCCACAGATAAACTTTATCCTCAAATCTCATCATCACCGTCCATTAATCAATCCAACGGTCACTAAACCTCGGAAATCTCCAACAATATCTAATCCACTACAATAAAGAATACATTCAGACAAAACAGAACAAGAAGAAAGCACAGAACACAATACACAATGGCTTCAATTACACTCAAATCCTTCACCGGACTCCGCCAACAATCCACACCAGACCAAACCTCCTTCATCTCCCACGTCCCCTCCTCACTCTCCCTCCCCCATCGCCGCACCTCTCTCCGAGTAACCGCCTCAAGAGCCTCCCCAAACCTCGCAAACCGCAAACTCCGCGTCGCCGTCATCGGCGGCGGCCCGGCAGGAGGCGCCGCCGCCGAAACCCTCGCTCAGGGAGGCATCGAAACCATCCTCATCGAGCGCAAGATGGACAACTGCAAGCCCTGCGGCGGAGCCATCCCTCTCTGCATGGTCGGAGAATTCAACTTACCTCTCGACATCATCGACAGGAGAGTCACCAAGATGAAGATGATCTCTCCTTCCAACATCGCCGTCGACATTGGCCGTACGCTCAAGGAGCATGAGTATATAGGGATGGTGAGGAGAGAGGTTCTTGATCAGTATCTGAGGGAGAGAGCTGAGAAGAGTGGTGCTACTGTGATTAATGGTTTGTTCTTGAAGATGGATTTGCCTGAGAGTTGGGACACGCCGTATGTGTTGCATTATACGGAGTATGATGGGAAGACGGGAGCTACGGGTCAGAAGAAGACTATGGAGGTTGATGCTGTTATCGGAGCTGATGGAGCTAACTCTAGGGTTGCTAAGTCTATTGGTGCGGGTGATTACGACTACGCCATCGCGTTTCAGGTGAGACGACTCCGTTTTACACATTCAATAGCATCTTACTAACTCTTCTACTAACTTAACTTAGTTTTAGCTTTTAACCAAACTAACTAGTTTCCTTTATTCTTCTTGTTGTGTAACTTAACCAAGTTTTCTTTCTTTCTTGCTCTTCACGCTTCTTCTTCTTCCTTCTTTGTTTCTTGCGCTCCAAGACTCGTTCTTCTTCTTCTTTCCTTCTTCTACTTTCTTAGCTTCTTCTCAGCTACTCTTCTTTGAGATTCAATCAAGGTTCTGTCCGACATGAACTGTTTAGGGTTTGATGAGAATCATGTTGTTAGGCTTTTTTGTAATATAGCATGGGTAAGTGGAATGGTACAATAGAATCCAAATATTTAAAAATTATATTAAGATTTTTCGAAATTTATATGTATAAATTAAATTCTGGACTAAAACTTTTTTTAGATATAATGTTAAATTTAAAGCTTATAATTTGGAAAAAAAATCAACATATAGAGATAAATATATCAACTTTAAATTTTTAAAAAAATATATATTGTTAATGTTTTTTTTGGGACAAGTGCAATGTTCTTATGGTGAAAGTATTGAAACTTTTTTCAGGAGAGAATAAGAATCCCAGATGATAAGATGACGTACTACGAGGATCTAGCTGAGATGTACGTAGGAGATGACGTGTCTCCCGATTTCTACGGATGGGTTTTCCCTAAATGCGACCATGTAGCTGTCGGAACAGGAACCGTTACACACAAAGGTGACATCAAAAAGTTCCAACTCGCGACAAGAAACAGAGCCAAGGACAAGATTCTAGGAGGCAAGATCATCCGCGTTGAGGCTCACCCTATTCCGGAACACCCGCGTCCACGTAGACTCTCGAAACGTGTGGCTCTTGTTGGTGATGCTGCAGGGTACGTGACTAAATGCTCCGGTGAAGGGATCTACTTCGCTGCAAAGAGTGGTAGAATGTGTGCTGAAGCTATCGTTGAAGGCTCACAAAATGGTAAAAAAAAACAAAACACAACCTTTTGTCTTTTTTTTTGCATTTTAAGATTTTAGTTAAATCAAAAAAAAAAAGGAAGGATTTTAGTAAGAGTTTTTACAAAAAATAAAATAAATAGTATAAATTTGGGGGATCTATGTCTATGTAATTTATTTCTTAAATTTTGGGGGTCATATAAATGTGTTTCTTGCAACAGGTAAGAAGATGATTGATGAGAGTGATTTGAGGAAGTACTTGGAGAAATGGGACAAGACATACTTGCCTACGTACAGGGTTCTTGATGTGTTGCAGAAAGTGTTTTACAGATCTAATCCAGCTAGAGAAGCTTTTGTGGAGATGTGTGGTGATGAGTATGTTCAGAAGATGACGTTTGATAGTTATCTGTACAAGAGGGTTGCACCAGGTAGTCCTTTGGAGGATTTGAAGTTGGCTGTGAACACCATTGGGAGTGTGTTTAGAGCTAATGCGCTAAGGAGAGAGATTGAGAAGTTAAATGTTTAAGACACAAAGAAGAAGAGATTCTTTCTTTGTTTTTTTTTTTTTTTTTTTTTCTGTTAAGAGTATGTTTATGTTTTTATCTGTTTATTGAATGATCAGTCAAAAAAGCATTTGGCTTTACAATCCAATTTATCACCTAAAAAACATATTTTTCTAACCACTAAACTCACTTGTGAAACTACACAAGTGAAACTACACAAGTGATCAGACTTTGAGACTTAACTTCTTCTTCATCTTGTGTGTAGCCTTGAAACAAGCTTGTCTTAGCCTCTTTGTCTTGTCTTCAAACTCCAAATCTGGATTAGCTTCAATCATCCTCTTCTGATTCTCTAGCATCTCCAGCAGTGCGTTCTTGAGCTTTCCTCCTTCCATCTTCTGCAGCTCCAATTAAAACATACACTCTCAAATTTAAGTTCACATTTCTAAACCACAAATGTAATGAAAAGAGTTGTGGCTATTTGTATGTACCTTGGCGTTACTAATGAGATTTAGTAGGCTCATGAGTTTGCGATGAGGCCACCGTGTAAACCCTAGTTCACGACATCTTCTTTTCAGAAGAGTTAAACCAACGTCAAGTTCCCTAGCGGCCTGAGTTATAGGCATGTAGAAGTATCGAGAGATAGTTTCCATTGACAATGCCTTTGAAGTTGTGTATGTAGTAATATCTCTGTTGATTTTCCACTTTTTAGTCTTCTCTTGCACTGCTTCGTGTTCAGTATTCTTCTCCAAGTCACCTTCTCCTCTGTTCTGTTCTGTTTTGTCCCATGAGGTGTATGAATCGAGTACATCTACAAGACAAAGCGAGACACATGAGACCTCTACGTGTATATATACAGTGTTAATATAGATAACAACTATTCATACGTTATAGTATACCTAGAGACAAGGGTTCAAGGTCAGGTAAAGGTAGATAAGGTGTAGGCAAAGGAAAAGCTTCATACACAGAGTTGTTCATAAGAAGATGCTCTTCTTGCCAATCAAATGAATGATAGCTGCGTTTGCAATATTAATATATGAGAGACATAAGATTACAAGAAAATTATAACATCAGATAATAAAATTAGACTAAACAAAAAAGGTTATTAAGACTGAAACTGACTTGTGATCATCAGAGAATGGTGAATGGTTTAGAAATGAGAACGGCTTCTCTTCGTTATGTCTATGATCAGCCATTGAGAGAGAGACAAAGTTTGTGTTGTAAAGCTAGAGAGTGAGAAACATTTATATACAAACATGAGAGAGATAAGAGAGAAGAGAAATTAAGTGATGATGAATCTATTAGAGGACGTGGGGTGACGGCTAATTGATTACTCTGGTAAATTTGGAGTTACAAGAGAGATATGATTAAATGTTAATTAGTGGTAATTACAGGGCCGTTTAGGTTTTGGATTAGAATTCTCATGTCATCTCTCTGATCTCTCCATGATAGACTTCATATATGCATGCAAGTAGGAAAGTTATACTAGTATTAATGCACATAGTAGTGTACATGTTCATACATTTACAATAATCTTCCAGTGATTTGATACTGACGAGTAACCAAACTCCAAGTTTACAAAATGAGGAAAGCATGGCTCCATATGGAATAGCCAAACAAATGACAACTTAGATGTTCATACATACATACATATCATAACGATCATGATTGTACATATATTAGTATCGATAAACTGAATAATATTAATGTGTACTAATTAAGATTCAAGATGTAACGTAGGGACGAAACTTTATTATAGATCATGGCCGTCTTTATATTTCTAATTTTTCTCATTGATTATAAGTTCATTAATGAAGTAACCAAAAAAGTGTACACTCCACAAAAATAACGGTCCCAAACAATCATCACCATGTTTGTGTGTTAATATAAAAATTCACATAATAACAACGTACGTGAAACCATCTTCATTAATACTTGGTGTACACAACTTTTTATTCAATTGAAATCCCAAAGTAAAATAAATACATTACTCCGGACTATAATTTTTTTTTTTTTTGTCAAAACCCCTGATTATAAGTTAAGATATCAAAATCCAGTCCATAGTGTGTCTGAGAAACGTTTTGAAGACACAGAAGAAGAGTTAGTAGCAAAACCTTTATCAAGAAGAGACACAACCTCCAACATCGATGGTATAACCTTAACCTGTCCAGTGCAGTGTAAAGCCAACAAAGACATAATTATCCTAAACTCTTTCGCTTGTCTGGCAAGTATAATTTTCCAAGCTAGCAATATTAGGCATATATATACTCATAGATCAACAGACATCTTCGTCTTCCAAGTAGTAGCCAATCAATTTTACCAGATTTGGATGATGCAGTCTCCTTATTAATTCACTTCCCTCTTTAATTTAGAGAACTCCATTCACAGGTACAGATTTTCAAAATGGAGCTAGAAAAGAAAATCATATTCAAATAAATGAAAAAGCTCACCAGCCACTCCTTGTGTTCCAGAAACCCTTCAGTTTTTAATTCGATTCCAGATCTAATATTTACACAACCCTTGTAATGACTACAACTCTAGTGTCCTCATTCTTCCAATGATTTTTTTTTTAAATTTTTAATTTTTAATTTACTAGAATATCTACTACTTTTTTTGGTCAAAGAACTCTTTATTAATTACTTAGTGATGCAAATAATACATTCTATCTTGCTATTTATATTTTGTTAGTTGTTAATTTTTACATATTTTATAAAGATATGTAACTGTTTACATCTACTATGATTAAAAGTTGGTAATAGAGCCAAATTAGGCTGTCCACGTGGGCAGAAATAATCTGCCAATCAGGAGGCTTTATTTTGCCACGTCAACCTGGTTTGTGACAGATAAATCAGAAAACCAATTGATTCGGTCTGGTTTGGTTTATTACCGCGTACGGTTTTATTTCGGTCCGAGATTCTCTCCCTCCTT